AAAACTACTAAAGAAATATGTAATACTAAATCAACTTACGAGTAAACGTTAATCGCAAAACTACTAAAGAAATATAGAGCTACATCAACTTACGAGTAAACGTTAATCGCAAAACTACTAAAGAAATATAGAGCTACAACAGAAAATTGAAAAGGGAAGGGAGAAGGAGAGGTGTGAAGAGAAGTGGTTGTCCGGGAGGCCTTTTATAGGCAAAATCACTGATGAAAACCGCACCTTAGAGGTGCGATTTTTGTCTGCCATGCAGGCCCACGCAGACCCACGTCTGTTACGTCTGCATGGCATGTCGGAAATTGATTGACCAAAACCGCACCTTCAAGGTGCGGTTTTTACGTTAAAATCGCATCCTCATGGTGCGATTTAGTATGGCAGAAACAAATCGCATCTCAGCCATGCGATTTTAATAGGTCAGACCTAAAATCGCACCTCGGCCATGCGATTTCAGTGCGATTTGAGTCCAGATAATGGGAACGCACCTTACCAGTGCGATCTGTTTGTAAAACGCATTCTTAGGATGCGATTTATATGTAAAACGCATCTACAAGGTGCGTTCTATTAAAAAGGGGTGCTATTAGTGTAAATTTTTACGGATGGGTGCTATTTTTGTAATTTTTTTTAAAGGTGCTATTTCTGGAAAAATCCCACTAATTGAGCTCCCCAGTTATGACATTAAATTTGAGCTGAGGAGGAAGAAGAAAAAAGGGTTTTGGCGGGGCCCTTACCTTCCTTGCCCATACCCTCAAGTCTCAACTCTCTTCACGTTCTCCCAATCTGCCTTTTCCGGTTTTCCCCACCGAGCCCCTGACTCAACTTCTGTGGGGCTGTTCGATGATCCGCCTGATTATTGTACCTTACTGTTTTGTGTTTATTGCGATTAGTAGTTTTGATAATTAGTGAGAAATATGAGCTTAGGCTCAACCCACACCATTCATTAAGCATAACTCCTAATTTCCTTCTTTTTGTTATTAGGCTAAAACTAGCTTAAGTACTTCTACAGTTCTACTGGTTATAGTGACTATAACATATACCAAGATGTCGAGATATTATATTGTACGCGCATTTGATATTGTATCATAGATATCAATTCATGTATTATCTCTAGACATAATAGTGTGGAATACTTCAACAATCAGGTGGAATTGCAACGACGGTTTTTTTTTACGGGAACGACGGATTAATTGACACATGCATGTACGTGGGCACCGGGTTGTGCCGCCCACGGGCTAGTACGGTACGACACAGTTAGAGCACGACATGAGCACGAGCACGAAATAAATGGGCCAGCCCGGCACGAGCACGAATAACTTATGGGCTGTGTCGGGCCTAAACTTCATGGGCACGAGCACGAGCACGGGCACGGTATATAAGTGGGTCGTGTTGGGCCTAATATATTCGAGACTTTATTGAGTATAAGAACAGACATGGTACGAAAAGAATATTTATTTGATAGAAAATAAATATAAAAGGAATTATAGGTTCAAATATTACAGAACACAAGTAGAAAAATAATTATTTGTTGTTGTTAAAAGTGTCATAAAGATATATACGTAATTACTAACATAAGTAAAAATGGACAAAGAATTAAGCAAGGCCAAATCATACTCGCTATACTTCCAATTTTCTTTTTCCCCTTATTTGTTACTTTTTCTCAAACATTATCGGTTAATACTATGTTCCTCCGTCCAATTTTCACTTTCCTTTTCATTCTCTCTTTTGTTTTCGTCCTTTTCATTAAACACGAATACGAGCATGACATGAGCACGAATAGGCACGGCACGGGCCTGGGCCGGGCCTAACAAAGTTAACAAATGGGCTTGCATGGCACGACACAAAAACTGACGGGCCGTACCAAGCACGACACGAAATAAATGGGCCCGAAGCGTGCCCGTGCCGTGCCGGCCCAAGCACGACCCAGCGCCCATGTACTGATGTACACATACATTGACAAGCTTCCTCATTGGACTCATTCACCCGTTGAGTTTCATATTTAATCTCAATGATGCATCTGATCTATGTGGTTTCTTTTTAGTTTTTAGCATCTTCATATTGATTTTTGTTTATTAAAGTATATTTTCGAATTAATTTTTCACCTTTTGCTATCGGGTAGAATGTTGTTGTTTCTATTCGTGTGGACATTAGTTGGCAACCTATGAGAATATGATCAATTTAATCAACTAAAATGAGAATCATCAGTATGAGTGGTTCTAGGCTTATGCGTGTCTCAAAGAATTGTACTCGAGTTTTATCTTTTCTCAACAGGAAGGGATATGATTGTTTCGCATAAACCTAGGTTTCTATCACCATAATTATGTTTTCCAATCGAGAGGGAGCTGCGTTTAATTATTAGCAATCACAATTTCATTTCAAAACGGGGTTTTAATTTGAATTATAAGGAAAATCCAGGTTGTAAGTTGTATGACAAATTAACAATATATTTATCTTCTTTCTTTTATTTATAAGTGACCAATATGTAAACAAATAAGTAAGTAAAAATATATATATATATTTGATATTAGAGGGGGAGAGGGGGAAAGGGTGGGGGTAGGGCTGCAAACGAGCCGAGTCGAGTCGAGTTTTTGCTTAGCTTGAGCTCGGCTCGTTTATTAATTTTTCAGCTCGAGCTCGGCTCGAACTCGAATTTTGATAATCCAGCTCGAGCTCGAGCTCGGCTTGAATAAAAATAATCTAGCTCGAGCTCGACTCGGTAGAGCTCGATAAATGCTCATTAACATAGCTTGTTAAGCTGAGTACAAGCTCGGCTCAAGATGAGCTCGATTTAAAATCATTTTTGCTGGAAAAATGTATAAACATAAGAATTTAAATGGTAGAAAGAACACTAGAAACTAGAAATAACATATAAATTTCATACACATCTGTATTATAAGACAATGTTCATGTTTAAAAGAGTAATTCATCCTTCCACAAGCTCAAAACAAGGCAGCTCGCGAGCTTAGCTCGACAAGCCACCGAATCAAGCTAGCTCGCGAGCTTATCAAGCTGAGCATGGTCTAGCTCAGGCTTGGCTCGTTAACTAACGAGTTGGCTCGCGAGCCGGCTTGTTAAATAACGAGTCGAGTGTCGAACGAGTTTTTCCCGATTCGAACGCCGAGTTGCTCGCGAGCGGCTTGGCTCATTTGCAGCCCTAGGTGGGGGCATGCATCTAGGGTTTAGCTTCTTTTTATTTGCCACTACAACAAATTTTTTGATTGAATATAACAATTATGATGAGAATTTTGGAGCGTCATCATTATCATTATCATTAATTTGTTATATATGATTACTTTGGTGGAAGAAAATAATATAATGAGAATTATTGGTCGACTACAAAGGTGATTGATTTTTTTTTTCACAAATAACCTGTATTGATAAATTAAGAGAGTTCAGGTACTACAGTGCCATCTTTTGCTAAAAGAGGTATGAGAAAAATAGGGGCTCGATTGAACCACACTTCGATTTCATCCGGTCGACATCGGGTGCGAGCCAACAAATGAGCACACTCATTCGCATTTCTCCCCCAGAATCGCCACTGCACATTTCCAGCTTCCTCCGCCAGTTCCCTAATCTCATCACAGATACCCCCAATCTCCCATGTCGTTGAATCCCTTCTATCCAGCTTCTGAACCACCGATTTCCAGTCTGTTTCCATAATCAGAGGCCCAAAATCATGGCTTTTTGCAATTTCAAGCCCCATAAGAGAGCAAGAGCTTCTGCCGTCTCTGGTGGCCATTTCGTCCTCGTCCGATGCACTGCCGCCATTTGAAATGTCCCATCCCCGTTTCTAAGCACCATCCCGAAGCCCGTTCCCTCCTCCCCCAACACAGCCGCATCGGTATTCATCTTGAACAACCCCTGAGGCGGAGGCTCCCAGACAACCCTAATCGGCGTCAACTTAGGTTTCGGGTCAGGGCCCTTCTGCAATTGCTGGTATTCCTCCAGGTAATTTTGTTCTCTCGTTACTACTTCCCACTCCTCGAGCTTGTGATTGTTGAAGAGATGGTTGTTTCTCTCTTTCCAGAGAAACCATAGGGTAATCAGAACCATAGTGAGTTCTTCCTCAGTCGTTCCTTCTATTAGGTTGCAGAGCCATTCCTCGCACTTCTTCCCTTCTCCCATTTCAAAATACTTAGCCAAATGACTTGGTCTCCATACTCTTCCGACCCAATCGCAGTCCCTCGTGATATGTTCTTGCGTCTCTACTAGACCACAAAATGGGCATTCATCATGTGCCTCTGGTATCCTCCTGCTCAGATTTGTACCCGTGGGGAGAATATTACTACCCCATCTCCACACAAACACTCGTACCTTAGGAGGTAGTTTCAGCATCCAGAGTTGTTTCCAATCGATGAGGACATAGTGCTCTACCTGGCTGTTCAAAAATCGTCTCCTCCATTCTTTATAGCCCGAGCGCACAGAGTACCTCCCAGATTTCTCCTTTCCCCAAACTCGAACATCTGGTCTTGATCTGAAAGGAAGTGGTATTTGTTTGATCCGATCTCGGTCCACTGGTTGGAAATTTACTTGCAAAAGATTGCTTTTCCACGACCGATTCTCATGATCAATCAATTTCTACACCCTTTCCATCATTCCCAAACCGTTCACCTGTGTTTGAACTTTGTAGTCCTCAGCTGTTGGGATCCATCTATCCCACCAAATCCGTACACTTTCCCCATCTCCTATCCTCCATCTCGTGCCCTCCCTTACCAAACTTTGAGCTTGCATTAAGCTTCTCCATATGTAACTTGGGTTTGTACCCATCTCGGCCTCTAGTATGTCACTATGAGGATAATATTTTGCCTTTAAAACCCGAGCTACTAGGGTGTTAGGATTTTGTAAGAGATTCCAGACCTGTCTTCCAAGGAGGGCTATATTGAAACCATGGAGGTTTCTAAATCCCATTCCTCCCTCATATTTAGGCCGACACAGCTTTTCCCAGCTCATCCAGTGTATCCTTTTCTCCTCCCTTTTCTTTCCCCACCAGAAGCTGGCAATCATACTCTGTATTTCCTGAATCACTCCCTGAGGGATTAGGAAAACTGACATAGCATATAGTGTTTGAGCTTGGGCCACAGCTTTAATGAGTACTTCTTTAGCTGCATTAGATAGGAGTTTTCCTTTCCAGTGTTTGATCTTGTTTCGGACTCTATCAATAAGGTGAGAAAACACAGCTTTTTTTGCCCTTCCAATTACAGTAGGTAGGCCCAGATACTTGTCGTGAAACATGACAGTTTTCATGCCTAGGATTCCAGCCATCTCCTGTCTGTCACTGTCCACAACATTTGTGCTGAAGGATAGTTCTGATTTGGCAAGACTGACTTGTTGTCCCGATGCTTTTTAATAATTGCTTAGAATATCCCTCACCACCTCACCCTCTTCTTTCTTATTCTCAAATAAAAAGATACTGTCATCTGCAAAGAAAAGGTGAGTGATCATAGGGCCATTGTTACTCACTTTTATCCCATGTAATCTCCCCTCCTCCACTGCTTTTTAGTTAAAGCAGACAACCCTTCTGCACAAAGCAGAAATAGATAGGGGGATATAGGGTCCCCCTGTCTTAAGCCTCTTGTTGGTTGAATAACAGCTGTTTGGTGGCCATTTATTAAAGCAGAATAGGTCACAGTAGACACACACTGCATAATTAATTGAACCCAGTCTTCATGAAATCCCAGTTTAAGCATAATCCCTTCCAGGAAAGCTCATTCTACCCTGTCATATGCCTTGGCTATGTCCAGTTTGGCTGCAACATACCCCTTCCTCCCTTGCTTTCTATTCTTCATGGCGTGAAAACACTCAAAAACGACCATTATGTTGTCTGTAATGTTCCTTCCAGGAACAAAGGCACTCTGAGTTTCAGTGATCACCTCGTTTAAGATCCTCTTTAGCCTATTGGCCAGCACTTTGGATAGTATTTTGTAAAGTACCTTGCATAGTGCAATAGGTCTAAAGTCCTTAGGAGAACTTGGCTTCTGAGTTTTAGGAATCATAGCCAACAGGGTATGGTTTAAAGATCGAGGAATCTGACCTGTTATCAGGATTCTCTGTAGCTCCAAGCAAACAGTATCCCCAACCACTGCCCAGTTCTTTTGGAAGAAAAGGGCTGGCATCCCATCTGAGCCTGGTGCTTTGGTGGGTACCATTAACTTTAAAGCTTCCCAGATTTCCTCCCTAGTAAAAGGAGGCAAAAGTTCTTGATTCATTTGGGGAGTCACTTTAGGCTCCACTGCTGCTAAAACATCCTCCATGTTTTGAATATGCCCTCTCTAGTATAGCTTCTCCAAATACTGCCAGAAACAACTCATAACCTCCTCCTGCCCTTTGAACTCTATTCCATTCTCATCCATCAGTTCTTTAATTGTGTTCCTTTTCTGTCTGTTTGAGGCTTTTCGATGGAAAAAACCCCGTATTCTTGTCCCCTTCCTTTAGCCAGTCTGTGCGAGATCTTTGCCTCCATCTAATCTCTTCAAGATGCAGGACCTCGTTTAGTTCCTTTTCTAGCACTCTTCTTTGCAGTAGAACTGACTTGTTCTTCCTTTGCTTAGCAATCTTGGCCAAAACCTTCTCAATCCTCTTTTTCGAGCTCTTAGACTACCAAAAGTCCTCTTGCTCCATTCCAACAAAGCTTTCTCACAATCCTTGATCCTATCCTCCAGAAGCTTATCAGGATCTTTTATCCATTCTGCTTCAATGATGGCAGAACACTCTTCATGAGTTTGCCAATAAGCTTCAAACTTAAAATGCCATCCCTATCTGACTCTCTCCTCCTGCAAATTCAGCTCCACTTTTATTGGTAGATGGTCAGAAACCCACCTATCCAGATAACACACTCTAGCTTCAGGGAACCACTCCTTCCACTCTGAATTGGCTAAAGCTCTATCAAGTCTTTCTTCTAGGAAGGTTTCATCTACCCTTCCATTATCCCAAGTAAACATATTCCCGTAATATCCCAAATCCTCTAACTGACATTCATCAATCGTTGTTTGGAATTCCTCCATGTTTTGGATATCTGGAGGATTGACTCCATTCTTCTCTTCATAGCTAAGTACTTGGTTGAAATTCCCATAGACCAGCCAGGGCATATTTTGTTGCTCATGCAGCCTTCTGATCATTTCCCAAGTCTGTGGCTTATTTTCTTGTTCAGGCCACCCATAGACTCCTGTAAACCGCCACTGATTCCCTTCAGCCCCTTTACTAATCCAAACATCAATGAAATTCCGGGTTAAGTTTTTCACAGTCACTTGTATTTCCTCTTTCCATAAGAGCAGCAGCCCTCCTGCTCTACCTTGTGATCCAACACCCTTCCCTTGTGACCATCCGAGTTGTTTGACAGTCTCTTCCCATTCGTGTTCTTGCTTCTTAGTCTCCATAAGGAAGACTATGCTGGGGTCTTGCTCTTTGAGTAGCGCAGCTACTCTTGCAACTATCGTGGGGTTCCCCAAACCACGACAGTTGTAGCTCAATACACTCATTGGGCTGGGCGGTCCTGATTCTTATCAGGAGCCTCCATTCCGCCAACCATTTTTGTGGTATCCCTCTCATTTGTTGTTTCCTTCCCGCTTTGTGTTTCCCCTGCTATTTCAGGTCCATTAGCTTCAGTCATTGCTTCCTTTCCTTGGTCTTTTGGATTCACTCCCATATGATCAAAAGACAGTGTCCGTGCCTTCTTCTGGAAAGCTTCCCCTCCCTCCATCTCGCCCCTCTCTTGCCCCTCTGCTGCCATTGTTCTCTTCTGAGGGGTGAGTTTCACTTGGTTTATTTCCCTACCTCGTCTCTGTTCCTGCCTCTTCCAGACTCTCCCAGGGACTCTATTGGTTCCTTTCTCATGGCTCTCCTTTTGGGAGAATAGTTTTATCGCTCCTACTCTCACTGGAGCTTCATGTTTCTTTATTCCCTGTTCAGTGGTGTTCAAATCTCTTGCTTCTTTTCGGGGTTCTTCTCTCTGCTCCTTGTCATCCCCTGTTGGGGACTGGTTTTCAGTTTCCAGCCATGTATCCATGGGGGCAGGGTCTTTTGCCTTTGGTTTCGAATTTAACTCCATTTCTGCCTGCTTTTCCTCATGTTGGGCTTGCGACTCTTTTCCTGAATTCGATCCTGAACTCTCCATATCGAATTTCCTTCTCAATTGTCTCCATATCTCAGATTCCTCCTTCCTGGCTCTATGTGATAGCCAGTTCCTTGGACCAGGAGGGGCTGTTCTCAGGTCAAACCCATATGGATCAACTGCTAATTGGGGACACTTAGTTTTGATATGCCCAATTCGTCCACATGAATGACAGAATAGCGGTAGTTTTTCATACTTAATTTGGAACTCCAGTAATTCTCCCCCCACATTTAACTTGATCTTCTTCCTCAAAGGATTATTGATCGATAAACTCACCCTGATCCTCAAGAAGACAAATTCTCCTAGTCTTGTTGCTATATTTTCTGCCATTGATTGTGTTCTTAGTTCAGCTGGGAACTCCTTTACCTGAATCCAGATTTCCATCTTGTGCAGGTCAGCAGGTGTTGGCTTCTTAATCCACCAACTAGCAGTGAAGAGCAATGCGTTGTTTTCATAGTGCCAGGGACCCCCATAGCACACTTTGTTACGATCATCCATCTCCAAGAATTGAAAAGCAAACAGGTTGTTTCCCAACTCAGTGATTTGATAGCTCTTTTTTAGACCCCACGCTTTGGTTAGGGCATATTTCATGGACTTTATGTTGGGCTCCTTATCTGACAGCAGTCTGCCCACCAGTCCCAGATGACGAACAGCCTCCATACGAACTACATCCACATCAACATCTTCAACATCTAGAGGCTCCTCATCTTCCTCTTCCAACGTGATTTGGTTTAGCTGATCTTCCAAACCAGCTGTAGGGTTTGTCCCATCCACTTCAACATCGTTCCTCTTCCCTGGCTCTGGATTGACATTGGTGGATTCCATCCCTCTTCTTCTTTGCTTTAGAACCTAAGTTTTTACTTGGGTTCCACTCCAGCTCTGTATTCCAGCTCTTGTATTCGCGATGTTGATCCTCAGAATTTCAGCACCAACTTGTTTTGACACAAGACTAAGCTTCTCACCTCTCTAAATACCTTTCGTTGCTCAGAGTTTTCTTCTAGGTTCCGGATACGTCCTCCTCTTTCAATCAGAACTCGGAAACCCTAGGGTTACCGCCGCTGCTAAAAACTCTCGCTAAATGAGAGAAAAAAGTTTTTTTTGACTAAGATATGGTTTTAGTGTTAAAAGGTGATTGATCGATTGGATGAGACCAAGCTAAAAATTTGATGTTGTAGATTAATGGATATCAACTAGTAATCATTTCATTCTCGTTTTCAAATATTTAAATTTATATCCGTTCTATCTCCATACGAAAAAGGTTTCACAAACTCATATCCGTGATTTTCGGATATCTGTGGCTAATACTCTCCCGTACATCCAACATTATTATATATAAAATTTTACATGTATGTTTTCAATTATAACACTAAACGGACCTACTATATCATGAAGTCAACAAAGATACAGTCATTCTTAATACAACTCAAAGCATCTGATCATAAAACATCTAGTAATCAACAAGAAAGTGTACAATATTTTTCAAATTATAATTTTTTACTCTGATGCTTCTACTAAGTAATAATCTTCTTAACAAGGGGAAAAGTGAAAGAGTGAAGGGAGAATTGAGGAAAATGAATTAGATTTTAGCTTGGGTGGCCACTCAATTGCATTTCTACTATTTATTTTCTTGAGTTACCCTCACTATCATTGATATATATGTTGCAATTTGATCAATGTACTTTTTATATGTGAAGGAATACTCTTGATGGGGCGGATATGTGTATGAGAATGAGACAGAGGAGGCTAAAACCATACCCGCCCTGTACCCGTCCATCAAATGTTTTGAGGGTTTTACCCATACTCGCCTCATACCAAGTCAATCGAGGATTCTTCGCGTTGACTGAGTTAAGGGCGGTTGGGTACCCACAACCATGGGTTTGATTGTCATCCCTAATCTTAGCCCATCAATATACAAGGAGATTTTTTTTGTTTTGTTTCTAATTAATGATTACATGGTGAAGGAAGAATGCTTGTAAGTAGGCTTGTTAGTCGGTTTGGTTATAACCCTAACAATTTAGTCGATTCTGGGTTAAGCGTTGAACAATTTGTGGTTATTGTAAACCTCACAATTTATATTATTCGGTTAATTGTAATCGTATAGTCGTTTGATGATTAATGAGATGACCGTTAAGTAAGTGGTTCGGCAAGATTATACTAAAATAACCGATCGGTAACCTCACCAACAAAAGATCTCCTCTTTCTTTTAATTGTACATTTTTGTAAACTTTTTCTTACATACGAATGTATTCTTCTTTTAAGTTGTTATCATTGAATAAAAACTAATTCAATATATATCAATCCATAATTAACTTAATCCAAAACAATGACACAATAACACCATGCTATCGTCAAACTTCAAGCGGACAAAAATAATAGACCTAACAATTAATGAACTTATAAACTCCACCAAATTACATGGAAGCTAAAATGTTATTGATTGTTGTCGAGTTAATGTGTGTAAGTTGATATCTTTCTACTATTATCCTTCTAAAGCCCTACCTTAAAATTATTCTCATTTGAACTTGAGTCACAATTACAGCATTGGTAGGCAAGGGATCTTGTATGTCTTCAAACATCCCATTATTTTTCAGCCTATGTCTGTGACTCATTGAGGGCTATTATTTTCGGCCCTAACATCAGGATGGCCATAATCGGCTAGTCAGTTAATCATTTCATCGTCAGTCACTAACCATTTAACAATTGTTAGTAATTACCTAAATTTGGCTGCCGAGAACCGACTGATTTACTGTTTAATCGATTATGAATCGGTGTAACAATCGGTGTTAGTCTATAATACAGCTAGCAAGAGGGGAGCTGCCCTTTTGCCAAATACATGAGAAGGTGTTAGCCTATAATGCAAGGATTGATATTACATATCATTAGCTAGCTAGCTAGAGATAGTAATGAGATAAAAGGGAAAAAGAGAAGGATCAAGTGGGAGAGTTTGTCATCATTATTATTGTTTGTTCTGTAGAGAGCTCCCTTTTCCTCTGTGGGTTTATAAAAGAAACCTCAGCTCAGCTATAGCCTACAGCCTTGGGATCGAAGGCATATATATATGTTTTATATAAGTATAAACAATCATCACAACAAACACCCACCACTTATATATAAATGTAATCATCCCCCTCTAATTGCAGCCAGCCACAGCCACACTCACCAACCAAACTTCCCTTCTCCTTCTCCTTCTCCCTCTCCCCCATGCCTTCTGCCATCTCAAAAAGGGAGAAAGAATAAAATAACCTTTGGTAAGTCAGACATACAGGTGCAAAAGATGAGGGAATGTGGTGGATGGATGGATTAGGGTTTTACCATATATAATAATTCATATTCATAATTAATTCCCCCCCACTAAATATTTTTATCTATCATATATTCCCTTCTCTGCTAGCTTTTTTATAATTTAGGTTGCTTTCTTTTCAAGACTTGTTTTTTTTTTTTTTCCAATTTTTTCTCTGTGTTGTGGACTGGTGTTTTTCAAAGAGTAAAGGAGAGTGCAAAAAGGGAAACTCCTCCTCCCCCACTCTCTCTCTCTCTCTAGACAAAGGGGAGGGAGGAAGCTAAGTGGGCGTGGCTGCAAGTACTGTGGCCTGTCACCTGAAGAATGAGGCTGCTATTCTTTGCAACCCAGATTTTTTTCTTCTTCTTATAAACCCTAGAATTGTTTCTGTATTGTTCTCTCCACATATTGTACAATAGAGGCCTCCTCCAATACCATACCCTAATGGAGTCTGCAAATCTCCATCACCACCATCGCCAGCTTCAAGTTGTTGCCTCTTCCAGTTCTTCTTCTTCTTCCTCCTCTTCTCCGCCCAATCCTTCCGCCGCCGCTGCCGCCACCACCGCCTCAACGAATTACTATGGAGCCGCTCCAACAACAGGTCCTGGCTGGACCCAAAACTTTACTTTGTGAGTTCCATTTCATTTCATTTCATTTCCATCTCCAACTATGCACACAATTTACTTTACGATTAGGAATCTTCCCTTTTTACTCCCCTCTCCAGCTTTAACACTTTATATCAATTCCTTTCACTATATTATTATTATATTCACTTCTCATAACAATCCCAGGAAAAAAAAGCTGATCTCAGGCCATTCATACACTAAATAGTTTAGGGTTTTCACCCATAACAATTGCAGCTCTGGAGTCCACATATCATGTCATAGGAATAATAGGGATTTTTTTTATTGGTACTTATATTCTCTCCTCCTCCTCCTTTGCATCTTTCAAGAGAATATATATATATATTAGTCTGTGTCCAACGCTAAAAGGATGCCCTTGCCTGATACTTGGATTAAACGAATCAAATAGATATGTAGTAATTTTTGTTTATGCATGTCTGCATTGATGAAATGGCAGCGATGGAGGTTCGGTAAACCCTAGCAGGCTGATGATAAACAACAACCACCACCACCACAACCACGACTTGAGCTTCCAGTGGAACACCAACTCCGGCTGCTTCACCTCCATCAAGGACGTCGTGGACTCGTCGACGTCCCTCTCGTCTTCCACGACGTCGTCCGACCCTTTCCCTAGGTTCACGGACATGCTGATCAGCTCCCCTTCCCCTTCCTCCGAAACCTCCTCCTCCACCGCCAACGATCTCAGCGAGAAGCTCCTCCTCAAGACCATCTCCGCGGGCTTCCCCGCCTACAACTACCACGGAGGAGGAGTGATGCCGTTAATTAACAATTCATCAAGTTTTGGTTCGAATCATAACTACTTTATGCTGCCGGCGGCGAGAGTTGGCGGGAGTGGGAGTGCTACTACGACGACGAGTAGCTTCATTTATCCTAGCATCAACGTGTCCAGCCTCAGCCTGCAAACGGCGCCGTTGGATATGAACATGCAAGCCCTGGATCTCCGGACTTCCTCCTCCAATCACAGTCTGATGGGATCGGTTATGAGGGTTGATCATCATCATCCTAATTATGGTTCAGTTGACGATAATCATCGTCATCATCAGGAGAATCTAATGATGCGCCAATATTGCAGCCCTAGCAATAATACCAAGGTATGGTGATAAACTTAAACTTTCTTACCAAGTTCGGGAAAATCGATGACTGCATCTTTGATGCACTTGCTAGTACTAGTACATCTGAAAATTTTGAATTGGCTAGTTGTAAATAGCTCCAGACTATGAAATAAAGGATAATACCAGACTTACCTACACCGAAGTAATGACGATGATTCTCAAATATCACAGAACAAAATGTGATCAATTGGTTTAATTAACTCGTTCGAATTCGATTTAGTTTCTCTGATTATTTATTTACTTGCTATAGGAAGTGAAAAAGGAGGAGTAGATGGCATCATTTCTCTTTGGCTGAGAATGGGTAGAGAGTCATTTCAGCTTTAGCCTTTTTTTTTTTTTTTTTTTTTTGAATTGGATCTCTTTTTTCAGAAGGAGAATCATCAGCCTTTCTCTTCTCTTTTCCTCTCTTGTTGCCTTTCTTTCCATTTTTCCCCCTCCTTTTTCAGATCCTTTATTTTTTTCCTCCCTGTCTTTTATCCTTCTTCAATTTGATTATAGTGTGTTTTGTCGTTAAAACCAAGAAGACTAAGAGACAACTTTTGATGTTTAAAATGATCACTATTTGTTACTTGTTGATTTGATTACTGAATTCATATGTGTCATTAGGACAACTATGATTATCAAGATTAATATAACTGATTATATGATCAACTATATAGATAATCCTGAAACTGTTGTTGAAGGTGTCCTCTGGGAGCTCATCCACGGCGTCGTTTAACAGGGAAACGGCAACGAAGAGTGCACCGCCAACGACGGAGGCGAAGAGAAGCAGCAGCGGGTCGTCGACGAATGATGCGACGGCGGGAAAGTCCACGTCGACGCAGCAGCAGGAAAGTAGTGGAGGAGCCAATAAGAAGTCGAGATTGGACCAGCCGCGTGCCTCTTGCCCTCCCTTTAAGGTAGGGTTTCAACTTTACCACCTCCTGGATTTTTTTTTTATACCTTTTTTCACTTTAAACCACGGTGTAAAGAGGACAATGTATTTACCGCGCGCGCAGGTAAGGAAAGAGAAGCTGGGTGATAGAATCGCGGCCTTGCAGCAGATGGTTGCCCCTTTTGGCAAGGTAAAAAATTAAGATACTGCTATTCATCATTAGAACCCCAATTCATCACTTTAATCTGCAAATTAATCAAGAACTAATCATTAATTTTACCTGTCCTTTTGTTTTAACTTTTTTTACATAAAACCTGATCATGCTGCAGACGGACACAGCGTCGGTGTTAATGGAAGCTATTGGATACATCAAGTTCCTTCAAAACCAAGTTGAGGTAAGTAGAATTAATTAACTGTGTTATTTATTTCCTATAATTGATTAATCCCCAAGCCCAAAACTAAAATCCCTGCAGACTTTAAGCGTCCCGTACATGAAGCCGGCTCGCAACAAGCCCAACAGGCCCATGCATTTCCAAACGGTAAAGGATAAACTGGACCCCGAGTCCAGAACAACAAAAGCCCATACCACTTCTGTCACTTCTCTTCTCATTCTCACCCAATTTTTTTTTTCTTTTTTCTTTCTTTCAAGGGAGAGGTAGTTGGAAATGGAGAGCCGACGAGTCGAGACCTAAGAAGCCGAGGCCTATGCCTCGTTCCGCTGTCCTGCATGTCCTACGTGGCCAGCATCGACGGTGGAAGCATCGCCGGAGCCATGTGGCCGCCGCCGCCTCCTAATTTCGGCGGCGGGACATTTAATTAAACCTGACACACGGGCTTATTGTTGTTGATGGAGCAACATTGGTCGACCCAGAAGGGACGGACCAAATTTGATCCATTGATGTAAGAGATAAACGGCCCAATTCATCTCTCTCCTCCTCCCCTAACATATTTGATCAATTTCAACATTGGGTTTTTTTTCCGATTATATTTATGAACTGCGGTCAAAAAAAATATTTATAAATCAAAATCTTATTATTGTTATTTAGAAATGGAACGGCGACGTTCTGAAGCTGCCAACTCTGCACTAATGGATAAAAAGTGCGTGGGCCGTGGACAACTTGATCGTCTCCATCAATCGCCGGCCGGTCCCCACCGCCGGCTGCCAATCATTTTAGGCTTTAACCATTCGGTGGGTCAGCAAAGTTAGAATTTATTTAGTCTAATTTTGTCTCCTCGTTAATGGTTGGTGGTGGCTGGAGTTTGAACTTCTTATCCTGTTACTTCCTTCCACTCCTACTGATTACTTTTATTTATGAAGCTCCCCAGCTTATCTAAACATTGATGCTTACTGAGCAATTCTGTCATTCTCGTTTTGTTAATCAAGTTGCTTCGTGTGTCAGCCATTTTTCGTTTTGTTAATATAAACAGTGATAAATTATATAATGCCATTTTTCATCACTCTTCGATTTTGGTTTAGTCGAATGGAACTATCAATGAATGAACACCAAATTTGAGGTCACGATTGCCAACAACAATCGCAACTAATTGAAAACCATCGATTAACCGGATGAGCCCGCGGATATTTCGGGTAAGAAAAAAATCAGAAGTTTGGGGGATATTTATTTCAACGGAGCCTTATCCACAATTCCTCCCGAGTCTGACATCAACAGCACTTCACTTGTTGGGGAGATTGGATTCTTCTCCGTCATCTCATCCCTTCCCCTCCGCCGTTATTATCATCCACCGGAACACAAACGCCGATTGACCTAACTTTTTGTCCCCACCGCCGCACCGCTGAAAGCAAAGCACAACTCTTTTCTTTTTTTCGGCACTTGAGGAAGTCCCACTTTTACCCTTCGCTCTGGGCAGCACCGTCACATGACTCGAAAGGACTTACTATTTAGGGCTTGTTTGGAACCTCCGATTTCAGATGTTGTATTCATAATATAATATCTGAAATCGGAGATTCCAAACAAGCCATATTTTTTTACTTGATGTAATAATAGAATGCATATATTCATAATTCATGGTGTATTCCTAATACATAAGAAATGATGTATTCTCATAATACATTATTTCCGGAATAAAAAATTCCAAACCACCCTTAATGATTTAATTTTTTTGCAACGTTATGATGTGAAGACAATGCATTTGCTAACCACTACTATACGAAATAAAAACATGATGAAAACGGCATTCACATTTCGCAGTGACTTATCCATGCAATCAATGAAAAGTTGTAAAATCTAATTTTAGAATGCTGCAAAGACATCAGTTTTGACTCCAAATAACTAGCGATGAGACAAACAATGTCAATAAACTTTATCACAAACCTTGTGGATAAGAATTCTCCATTCACACGTGGCCACGTCAATCCATAAATTACTTCTTAATTATGATACCGGTGGCAATTTCCCCTTAAATCTCGATGCCGTCGAGTATTAAGCACATCACTAATTAAAGACTTCCCATTGTAAAACCAAAACCGTGGGCGGTTTAGCTAAGAGCTCCTTCGAGGGTATATACGTCATTCCACGATCAAAACGACCTCCAATTTGCTGTCGTCTTTATCAGACCTTATTAGCGCTCCCATTAAGAATCTCTCTCTCTCTCTCTCTCTCTCTCCATCTCTGTCGCTCGGTTTCTCTCTCTGGATTGGCATCGTAATAATTTATATATCTTATCTTCTCCAATCCCCAGTCTCTCATTTCCCCTCTTTACATTTTATCCGATCCCTTCCGTTGTCGGTTGCTCACTTCTCCCGCACCGTCTCTCCACTCAATCGCCGATCGATCGGTTCGGATCCCCTGTCCCTGTAACTTTCGCCGGCAAATTCTGGTTCCCAATCTGATTCTCCCGCGGATTCTGTATACGGTGGCTCTGATTTAGTCAGTAGCTGTGATCGGGCCGCGTCTGTGGAATTTTTTCCAGGTTTTTAGCTCATCTGATCTCTGTGCTCTTAGATTCATCTTTCGAGGATGTCTAGTTTCTCTAATTGTTTCTTTTAGTGAGGGAGAGAGAGAGAGAGAGAGAGAGAGAGAGAGAGAGAAAGAGGGCGGGTGGATATTTTGTGTGTTTGGACGCCGAGAAAATTCTAAACGGATTAAGATTCGGCCGGCGGTGATTGTTGCTGTGTTAATTACTTAATTAGGCGTTTGATCTTGAAATTAATTCTTACACGGATAACCGGATTTGGTTATCAAAAGCTCTGTGATGCTTTTCCGTTGAAGCTCTTAGTTTGTTTTCTGTTTGAATCCTGATTTTTTTTTTCGTGTCATTCAAATATTGGTAGGATTTTTCGAGGAGGCGAGGAAATGGCGTTGCTGCAAGGACCGGTTATATGCCCTGCCGTTCGTGCAAAGCAGGCAGGATTCTACATGTGCACCGTTCCAGTGATGAATTGCTGCGTGGTGAGAGCCAGGTTCGTCGGTAACGAGTTATTGGGATCCAAAGGATTCCATGGTGAGAAGAGTAAGGTGGGTGGTTTGGTTTCCCGGAGCCGGCGGAACTTCTCAAAGGTGCAATGTGCTCTGAGTTCTTCTTCGAGTGACAATGGCAACATGGCGAACTTCAACGAGCAGGATGAAGATTATCTCAATTCTAGTGTAGTTGAAGCTGGTACGGGACGTGTGTGTTCTTTGTTTTGATCGGTTTGCAACTTAATAATCGCTGTGTGCGCGGATTTGGTAATGTTGCTAAATGTGTTACCTGCAGTTGAGGTGAAGAGTGGGGCAGATGGTTTCATGATTAAAATGAGGGATGGAAGACACTTGAGATGTGTCCACAACAATCCTCAAGGCAGCCACTTGCCGGACTATGCTCCACATCCTGCGATTGTGTTGAAGATGGAGGATGGCACTGGCCTTCTCCTCCCAATAATTGTTTGTATGTCTGCTACTGATGTGAATGCTACCACATTGTTATGACTCGTCTCCCTTGTTCTCTGTCATGTTAAGTATTTATTGTGCTCTGTTCTTTTGTAGTGGAGATGCCAAGTGCATTGCTCATGGCAGCAGTCCGGAATGTTCAAATTGTATGAGTTGATTTCATGGTTATTCTATGTTTCCTTTTTCTTAGTGGTGAAAGGATCATTTTGGAGCCTGCTAACTGCTGGAAATGCTTATTCTTTGGTGCAGTCAAGACCCACTCTTTATCAAGTAGTGAAGGATATGGTTGACAAGATGGGCTACGAAGTAAATTTGTTATCACTTCTCATGTTGCCAGTGGTTGACTGTTGGGACCCCATCAGATTTCTAATGTGGTACATGTTCTCCTTCTACGCAGGTTAAGCTCGTTAGAGTGACTAGGCGAGTTCATGAAGCATATTATGCTCAATTGTATCTGACGAAGGTTTTATTCCCTGATTGAATTCTGCTACCTTATGGAGTTAAAATTCTTGTTCAGCTGCTAGGTTCTAGGAAAAATTAACTTTTAGTGTCCTCCATTTTTCACAGGTTGGTTCTGGTGAGTCTATTAGTTTTGACCTCCGTCCTTCAGATGCTATCAATATCGCAGTGAGATGCAAGGTATTTGAACACACTTACGTGGAACTGCTATGGATACTTAACATGTACTCGTAGTTGTGAGTGAGAGAATGCTTAAATTTAGTCTGTTAAAGTTTTACAACCCTATCTGTTAGTTTGGAGATAGTCTCAGGGTACGGCTGACCAAGAGACACAATGAAAAGAAACAGCATTAAGCAGACTGCTCCTGAGATTTCAGCTTAGATGAGGGTGCCAGTACTGACTTTACTTGTGGGTTTGGCTCTTTGGCAGGTACCAATTCAAGTGAACAAGTACCTGGCATACAATGATGGGATGAGAGTCATCGAATCTGGAAGGCCAATGCACTCCCATACTTCAGATGGCTTGCTATTCACTGAACTAGACCGGTTAGTCTTTACAAGTTTAAGGGGGCCGTTAAAACTGCAGTTGCATCCATTTCCTCTCTTGCCAAGCAGTTATTTCTGCAAAAAGTGAAACCATTATGTATACTCACAAGCTGCATGACCACCTCGCAATCACACAGTCCTTTTTTTCCTTTCCGACGGAGAAAAAGGGCTAAAGAGGATTTTTCTTTTGATCGCAGGCCCACGGGTCAGCCGTGTCTTGATACCAAAGAGTTCATTCTTGTGCGCAACATGCAAGAAGCTGCTATTGAAGAGCGTTACAATGATGCAGGTAACTCCTTTTAAGGCTTTAACTATGTTATGCTCGAGCACAATGGGGCATGCACTTACATTTTGGCTCCCCAAGGTTCAAACCTAGCGTGGTGATGTTTTTTTATCCACAGATCACCACTAGCTCAACTATTAGGCTTAAAATCAGTTTGATATTCGATAAAAGTTCCTTTCTTTTATGGCGAGAGCATCAGATAAGCAGTATGGCAGAACCTGTACTATGGTGCAACAAGTGATCATGGGACCGGGCCGAGCTTACACTTTCTAATATAGAAAGAGAGCAGAAACTTGTATGGTTTGGTCTAATATACTTCTGTCTGTGGCAGCTGAATGGAGGGACAAGCTCGGCCAATTTCGTGCAAAGAGGAACTTGAGGAAGCACATATGAAAGGTAGCGCGCGGTCTTGTCGGAGCTTTTGTAAATAGGAAATGCAGTGGAAGAAAGCTGATGGAAGTCGGCCTGATTGGCTGAGGAAGTAAAAATCTGCTGTCCTTTCGTCGCCAGTCGTCTCGTATATTCATACGGTGTCTATTTATATATATATCGCTCGGTCGGTCGCTCTATAATGTATGTAGTCTTGTGAATATATTGTATAGAATTTGACATTGGTGGTGGTAAGATGTGGGACGATTAAACTGTAGTGGCTCTGATTCGAAGTGTGGGAGTATGCTTTTGAATGTCAATTTCTCAATGTCGCAGTTCCAATGGTCCCGTGCGCATTGCACTACTAGCTTTGCATTTGAATCTTTTCCCTGCCTTTGTTTCCCAGTGATTCGTTTCCGACTTTCTGCGCGCTGTTTACTATGGGCCACCAGTTCGTTTTTGTGAAGGCTGCGGGCGGGCGGGCTCGGCCCGATGACCGATATTAATTGAGCAGGATGTCTAGAGATTCTCGGAAACGATCATGTCAGTAATTTTACGGTGAGTAACTATAAGTAATTCGTCAGTAATCTTACAGTGAGTAACTATAAGTAATTCGTCCACATCAATATGACATTAGTATTCTTCTTTCTTCTGGAAAGTTTTTTATTTTTTCCCCTTTAAGTTTTAACGAACAATTTCTCTCTTGTTTTAAGTCAAAATTTAATTTTTTTTTGTACAGATAAATCAGATTAAATGTGGTCTTTAAAATGATATCCATTTTGGTATATTTTTAGTACAAAAAAATTGAATAATTTTTTACCTGTCTTTATGGTATGCTCCTATTTAATACCATATGGTAAGAAATTTTTTTATTTTTTCCCCTCTAATTTTTAACGAACAATTTCTCTCTCGTTTTAAGTCGATTTTTTTTTGTACAGATAAATTAGATTAAATGTGGGTGAAATAAAATGCATTTAATTCTCAACCCTTAAATCTGCAGCACACTTAAAAGAAAGGGTCCAAATTTGATTACTCATACTAAACACCCTAAGGTTACTGGCCCTAGGGGTGGGCACGTGGGTGGTTAATCCGCGGATTGGTATCGATCCACCCGCAAGTAGTGGGTGATTGATTACGGATTGATAAATCTCCCACCCGCACTTATGTGGGTCGGTGGTGGGTGGATTGCGGGTCACCCGAATGACCCGCATCCTATTTTCACATGAAAAAATATTATTTCTTATAGTATCAAATATTCATCATATTTCCGAACCACACTACAGTCTCACCATATACTTCTAAAGGTGGAGAAAAAATAGTCTATTATTATTGGATATTATGTTGTGTAATATCTATTAGATATTGGATATTGGAATGTGAATTATTGTTACTATCCATTAAATATTGGGATGAAAACTATAATTATTAATTGTATCAAGATAAAAAATGCGCAAGTTTCTCTATACAATTGGATGATAGAGTAGTAATATTTTTATACAAATACTACATGGATTCACTTGAGACAAAATGAGAAGTGTCTAAACTGATACAGTCTTCCTAATTTGCTATGAGGTTATTATAAATGTTAGTCAACTTTCTTAATGGTTTGTTGGAGAATTGCTTTTGCGGGTTAACCCACGACCCAACCGCACCGATCCGCCACCCACCCGACCCGATCCGCAGAAGAATGTGGATGGATTGCGGGTCACAATTATTTCAACTAGCTAGTAAGCGGGTAAGTCAATTTGAGACGAAAATCCACCCAACCAGCCCATTGCCCACCCCTAACTCACCCTATCTTGAGTCCATCTAGGCACCGAGCCGTCAAATGTTAGACCCTTTGGTGGGGTTGGCAATTGGCATAATCAGTCCACCGTCATAAAATCTGGATGAAGTGTGACCCAAAGTCCTTGAAGTTATTTTTCTTTCTTTTTATTGAATTGGTTCCTCTAAGAAAGTGAAAATGAGGTGGGACTTTAAAGGATTAAATTTCTTTTTTATTAATTTGTTAATTGTCACGTCACATATTTAACGGTCAACTATAAGAGTTGACCGTCACATCAGATAAGGTTAACGTAATTAGATGGAGAGTGGCCAAATTTGAACTATTGAACTGATTTTAATGATCGAGAATGGAATTAAATATTTTTAGTGATCAATCTTGCAATTTACTCTTTAATATATTCACAATTTCTATTCCATAGTAGTATTATGATTTATGTGTGTTCTTTACCATGGCGACTTGTATTCGAAATGAAAACAACATATATTCAATAATCCACACACCTCTCCAGCCAACAACCCTAAGCTACAAACCGAAAAGGACACTCATTCAACAAATTGGAGACTAAAGAGTCACACCGCAAGAGACGATGACAGAGAAAGACTTGACTTCGTAACTCCAATAATGTTCTACAAGATCTTTACTCGATGAATCGGAGAAAGTAGCATGAGAACTTCATCTATGAGAGATAGAGATAGTCAGTCTATTTTCAAGCTCCCTTGCTCTCTAGTCCATCGCACGAATGTGGTTTTCCACGACAGAAGGGTTCGCCGAGGACATGCATCCTCATAAAAGACGAGTTAAGAGTCTCCGACGTTTGTGCATGGTGCTTTCCACGTGCTCTATCTCATTTCCAACTTCAGCAATCCTTTGCAAAACAACCTTAATCGGAGGAGCCATAGTTGATAAACACAAACCACGTTAAGAAAGCTTTTTTTTAGTTTATTGTAGAGCATGAACGCTTAGCAAGACTTCATTTATAGAGTGGTAGAGTCGCCATGCAGTACGAATTGTATAGTTGACACAATTCTCGTTCTTATTAGTTCTTCTAACAACTTTTCTGCAGCTCAATTGAATCATGCCTTCTAAATGAAAACAGGCTGGCTCTAGGTACCTTGATGAGCAAACCAAATCTCCCCAAATCACACTATTTGTATGAACAAACAAACTTTGTACAACCAGCTTAGGTGAAAAAAGTTACATATGCTATGCCAATAAACTTGTGAAATTCATTTACTGATTCGTCATATGAGCCACGTTAATAAAACCCAAACTTGCATGGACCATCAAAGAAAGTCCTACAAATGAAGAAGACTTGGGTTTGTCAAGACTGCTTTCCTCGAGGAAAGCTTATAGAAGGGCCAAAGCACAACAAGCCCATGCAAGACAAGACGGATCTCATCCATTGGCATTTAGGCTAGCCCAGGATCCAGGTTACCGCTTCTTGTGACTACCTAGAGTAGATGCTACCTTTTGACCTTTTCTATCGTATGGTTTTGTTGGGGACTTGTCTTTCCTTGGAGCCTTAGTCCAGTAGGCATGAATATAAGAGTTTTAGGAATAGTAATTTGTATTATTATGAAACCACAAAGGGGTTTATATAGATTACAAAGACTTGGACAATAAGTAAGAGAACCGCAATACTAGAAGGACATGGAAATACTAAGAACTATACTAGAAAGACAAGGAAATATAAGACTATTCCTAATCTATCTCTAACACGCCCCCACAAGATGATGGTGTGAAGAACAACATCAATCTTGACCAAAATACGTCAAACTTGAAGAACACGCCCCCGCAATGTGATGGTGTAGAGTGTGATGCAAACTCGTCGAACTCTTATGCTTGAAGAACGAAGCCAACTAACCGTCGTCTTGGAGAGGAAGAAATCATCAAACTGGCAATTCATATGTTGCAACGAAACTCACTCGTTGTAAAAAATTGACTTGAAACGAGATGGACAATAATCAAATGGTTTTAACGAGACCAATAAACGTAAACTGGTGGAGGACACGAAGAATTCATCCGAATGACTATGGTCGGAGAAACTTCCTTTGTTCAACACACACAAAGGAGAGATGGCTGGAGATTGACTGTGGACTCCATACCATACAAACTCTTGAGCAATCAGCAGTAAAAGGTGGAGCTTCATCTTCGAAGTAAGGCGGCAGTGATCAAGCTTCATAGCACAAAAATTTAGCTGAGTCGAAGACAATGGAAATTGCTATGATCATAGTGATGAAAGACAGATTTGGGGAAACGGCAACCGAAGGCTTGAAGTGTTATGGCTGGGGTCGCGGGCAGAAAACAATAGGAAGGGATTTGTTTTTATTTGAATGAGACAAAAGCCCATCAAAAAAGAAAAAGGGAACAATAATATAATAAAGCATTGAGAAGGCAACTGGGAAAAACATGAAACAACGATTGAGCGATGCAGGGAGTGGAATCTGCTTAAAGGACAAGCGGACCAGGTGAGTTCGGACTCATGGCCGAGACAAGAAAAGAAACAAAAAGTTTAGGGTTACTAGATCAAGGTTGTTAAGCTAAAGGCTCTTATACAATTATAAACCAGTTGGTCTCAATAATTCGAGTTGTTGGGAGAATGTTATGCTGAATCTTATACAGACCCATGTATGATACTTAACCACTTCTTTACACGCCCACTCAAACGAAAACCGACTCATGGGCTTGAAGTTTGCACAGGCCCGACATACCATGTGCTTGAAAGACAACAATTAATATTAGGGGTCGTGAGGACTTGAACACGTGACCTCAAGGACAAACCAGCTCTTATACCATATAGGAGTTTTAAGAATAGTAACTTGTATTATTATGAAACCACAAAGGGGTTTATATAGATTACAAGACTTGGACAATAAGTAAGAGAACCACAATACTAGAAGGAAACGAAAATACTAAGAACTATAATAGAAGGACAAGGAAATATAAGATTATTCCTAATCTATTTCTAACAATGAAAAGCTTGTTACTAGAACTAGATGCTGCGACTAGGAGATGGACAAGTGAAGATTGTATCTTATCTAGAGGTGACGATTCCCAATTCAATCCATCAATCCAATCTAATTCATTTATTTCGATATTCAATTAATTCAATCCATTTAAATCCAATTCATTTAATCCAAATCCAATTGGATTGGTGGATTCATGGATTATTGACAAATTACAATTTAGTACCTATATTTTTTATAGTTTACAATCGGTACTTAAAATGTCATTGAAAAATACATTTTGGTGCCTAATTTTTATTATTATGACATTTTAGTACCCAAACTATTCAAAAGTTACATATTGATCCAAGGCTTGTATGTCATTTGGATTCATGGATCAATCCACCAATACATTTGATCCATGTAGAAGGACATCTAACTTTTGATCTCCCTGCATTCCTTTTGGTTGATGACTTGAATTGTGATATTCAAATTTTATAAAATTTCGGGAAAAGAGAATAGTGGATTCTTTGTCTGCGAAGAAGAAAAGAGAGGGGTTCAGTTCATCCGATTTATCCAGCCACCAACCAAGCTTTTTTCCTCTCTTAATTGAGCCACTCCACTTCTGTCATCGGATCAGCAGCCCAACAATCCATTGAATCGGGGGTATGTTGATGCTTTCCCGTTCAGCATAGTAACTCGATTGACACCAACTGCGACGGAGTAAGCGATTAGAGTAAAACTACCTATATAAGCATAGACAAAGCAACTAGTTAAACCAACACAACGTAAATCTTATGCTGTTGTGTGTTGTCAAAACGTTAATATCATCATTACACAAAACAAAAGTGTTTGGCTATCGTTTGTTTCTCACCAATTTCGTTAATAACACGGAAAACTAATTATAGTTAAACGAAGTCGCTCACCAGCTTAATCAAAGTTCAGATGGAAAATTCAAAAGGCCCGACAAAAACGTCGTCGTAACAACGAAGGCAGCCCAGCGTCAAAAAACAATTATATTATAAAATAAAACTCCCGCCAAGCCAAGCCAAGCCAATAACCCACACTCATCCACGTGTCAACGCAAAGGCCCCACCGGCGGAAAATCGAACCACGGCACAAAAAAAGATACGATCCGCTTTTCCTCCTCTCTCACCGCGCTGTTTTATAACGTCATTTCTCACCGCCACCGCGCGCCACCGCACTCTATAATTACGCCACCACCACTCCCTCCCGCCTTTTAAGTTTCTCTTTCCACTGTCTCTCTCTCTCTCTCTGGCTTTCGTCTTGCTTTCCTCTCTCCGTTTCCTCCGCAATTCCGGTGTTCCTTCTCCGCCGGCTAGGAGCATGCCGATTAATTCCGTCGGAGAGCTCTGATTCTTTCCTTCCCCGGCTGGCTCGCTTCGATTCGTTTCGGAATCGGAAAAGTCCGATTCCAGTGAGTTCGGATCTGGTGATACAGCGATGTCCAGTCCGTTGGAGCGCCTCGCCGGGCCCTGTGAGTTCATTTAGACATATAATTCTCTATGTTTTGGATTTTGAATTTAGGAGGAATTTTTTTCTTCTTCTTTCGGAATGTGAAACTTCTAGGGTTTTCTGGTAGGCTTCGATGGAACGTCGGGGAACGACGATAGGAGAGAGTGGAGATCGGACTGGGAGAACTCGGAGGAGGAGAGGAAGACGAGGATGGGGAGTTTGAAGAAGAAGGCGATCAAGGCGTCGAGCAAATTCAGGCATTCTCTCAAGAAGAAGAAGAAGAGCAATAAGAAAGGGCGCCACCATGGCGAAGAAGGAGGCGCTTCCTACTCCGACGCTGCGGTGATTGAGGATGTCGGAAAGCTGACGAGCTCAAATTAGTGGAATCCTTCAGGCAGATTCTCGCCGCCGATGATTTGCTTCCTGCTAAGCTCGACGATTACCATACGTTGCTCAGGTTGCTTGCTTTGTCTCGTTCTGTTAGTTGTCCTCCTTGCCCTAATGAAATTCGTAGTTTGCATCTTCAATTGTTTGGTTCTCTTTTAGATTTCTTAAAGCAAGGAAGTTTGATGTTGAGAAAGCAAAGCAAATGTGGAGCAATATGATACAGTGGAGGAAAGAGTTCGGCACTGACACTATTATAGAGGTAAGAGATCAAATCCACTCTTTCACTAAGAAAATTTCCAATAGCCTGAATTCAAGTTGATTAGGTTTCATCCATTAGAAGGATTACTGTGGAATTTATGCCGGAGTGTTTAGCTATTTGGTTTCTTGGGTTTCATGAAACGGGGATATCCGATATCGCAGGATTTTGAGTACAACGAATTGGACCAAGTATTGGAGTACTATCCACAGGGTTACCATGGAGTGGACAAGGATGGGAGACCTATTTACATTGAGAGGCTAGGAAAAGTTGAACCCAGTAAACTAATGGAGGTCACCAGTCTAGAACGATATGTGAGATACCATGTGATGGAGTTTGAGAAGACTTTAAAAATCAAATTTCCAGCCTGCTCGGTTGCTGCAAAGAGGCGCATTCAGTCAAGCACAGCTATCTTGGATGTCCAAGGGGTGGTATGTTCATAGTTTCCTAGTTTTCATTCCGGGTTAACTCATAACTCATAAGTGTGCTGTAGGTTTACATGTGAGAGTTTTTCCACCAGGGTTTGAAAAACCTAACTAAGCCTGCTCGAGAGCTAATCATGCAGCTGCAAAAGATTGATGGTGATAACTACCCTGAGGTACGATGTTTTTTATAAAGAGAGAAAGGAAGTGCGAAAATTTGTTCCTTTTTCTTATCACTTTGCCTAAAGGAGTAAACTCTGCAGACTCTTGAGAGGATGTTTGTTATCAATGCTGGTCCTGGTTTTAAGCTACTCTGGAACACAGTCAAGTCTTTCCTTGATCCTGATACAGTGTCCAAGATTCATGTGAGTCATGGTTTAGTTTTAGATTTCAGACATGGAATGTCCACCGTTCCAGTGAACAGAATTAGAATCAGCTGATTTTCTGGCTTTTCATTGCAGGTTCTTGGTTACAAGTACCAGAGCAAATTACTTGAAATCGTAGACCCAAGGTATCAAAACTGCTTATGATAATAATTTGCTATCTGACCACGTCTATCTCGAGCCATATCAGCCCCTGAACTACCATAATTTGCATTTGTTCAGTCAATTACCCGATTTTTTGGGCGGTACTTGTACTTGTGCTGATGAAGGAGGTTGCTTAAGATCAGGAAAGGGACCATGGAAAGACCCCGACTTCCTTAAGGTTTTCATTTTTTTTATGACTTAACTAAAAACTTGTATTTGATTTGCTCATCTGTGTGATTACGTGATTCCTTGCCTTTCACCTAGATGGTTGTAAATGGGGATGCATCAAATATCAGACAAGTATTAACAATTTTGGATAGTAACGGCAAGGTGATTGCTCGAGAAAAGCAATGTTATTCATCGGTACGACTCAGACTTACCCTAGATTTATGTCATGCCTCTCTTTGATTGTCTGACGCATTTTTACTTGCTTTCTTTTCATTTCAAGGCAGATGAAGATGAAGAAGAGTGATACTTCCGCTGGTGAGTCAGGGTCTGAAGTTGAAGATATCTTCTCTCCAAATCAAACTAATAAGAAGCAGTTGCTTCCACGGTTGACACCAGTCCGTGAAGAAGTAAGTAATGCTCTGGGAGATTATAGTGCAGGCTTCTCTGCTTCGAGGGCACAAGTTCATTCACTTGATGTTCTCTGTACAGGCGAGAGATGGTGGCAAGGTGAGCACCGCTGTTGGTATCACTGAGTTCGATGAATATGTGCCCATGGTAGACAAGACTGTAGATTCAGAATGCGAGAGACAATTGTCTTCATCAGAACAAGGTAAATCCAAAGGTGATCTCACATCAGGTTGATGCTCTGTATTTCCGGCATTATATTGCAGACCCTTTTAGAAACAAGGTTGTGATTGTTTCAGCATTGTATTCCAAGCAAATTGGGTTTCAAGAGGTTGTGATGAATTATTATAATATTGCAGACATATCATCGGCAGCTGAAAGGAGAGAGAAAGGTCCAGGAATCTTGGATCGAATCTGGGTTGTGCTCGTCGCGTTATTCATAACTCTCCTTGCTTTCCTTCATTTCCCGACATATCCATCGAAGAACAGTGGCGGCTTTGTGTCCGATGCTGAATCTTCAGTTCCTACCCTCGTGTCGGCGGTGTGGAGAAAGCTGGCTGAACTCGAGCAGAAGGTCGAAATACTGCAGTCGAAACCTCTTCAAATGCCGTGCGAGAAAGAGGAGCTGTTGAATGCTGCTGTCTGTCGCGTGGATGGACTTGAAGCAGAGCTGATCGCTACCAAAAAGGTGATTAGATCCTCTAAATCTTCTTCCCTTATAAAAAGCGACAGATAGAAAGGTCCAATTATGTTAACTTAGTGAGCTCAACCTGCTGCTCTGCCCTTCTTTGGCAGGCTTTGCATGAAGCTCTAATCAGGCAAGACGAACTTCTCGCCTACGTCGATAATCTCGAACAAGCGAAGTTCAAGGTAATGTTGTGAGATCAAACACTCTGACCAAAATCATCTAGTTAATAGACGTTTCCACTTACCGACTCGAATCGTTTTATTTTTTCGAGCAACAGAGGAGGAAGTTTTGCTTTTGAAGAGGAAGAGAAATCATTGTACAGAAGGAAGAGAGCCTCAATCACACAAGTACAGTTACCACACGTATAATATATTCACCATTATGTAAAAGAGAATCCGCCGAGTGTAATAAACTTTGTAAAGAACATTGCCCTTTCAGAGCCTTTTTTCTCACTAAAAAAATGCTCCTTCCTAGATCCTGAATGAAAGAAAACCAAAATTTGATCTTTAAAACCTACACAAGAGCAGAGTATTCACCATCGCATAGAGTCTCTACTCGTAAGTCGTAACCATTATACTGGAAGGTATCCCAAGTGTTCTTCCTCTCCACAGGTCGTTCTTCAGGAAAAAGCAATCCATTCTCCTCCACCGCCGCCGGCGATTGTTGAATAGTAATTCAAGCTAGTCAGAGATGACCGTTGCTCAATCACAGCAGCTCCAAAAGGAAAGTATATCTTGTCCATCAAGGTTTCCTTATTTGATTGCAACGGCTAGGAGTCTTCGTCTATATATTGCCAAGTTTCGATCTTGAAGCTCACTTTTGTGGGAGCTATTGTGGTAAAGGGCATAGCACTGGATTACAAAAGGGATTGACGAAAGGTAGAGGAAAAGGTTCACCTTTCGTCAAGGCTGGTACAGATCAGAGCTTGATCTGGGTTTTCTTTCTTCTTCATTTAGATTGGTTCTTTTGCTCTTATTTTGTCCTTTTGATTTCTAAATAATCTCAGTAATAAAAGGTTTCCCAGACCATATTCTGGGACGTGAAAGTAGACCATTGCACTTGGGCGAACCACGTTAAAAATGTCCGGTGTTCTTTAATTTTTCTCTCCACTTTACCTTCTGCAATTCGAGCACTCTGTTTTGGTCAAGGACTCTGTTCCTTGTTCTGGTTCTGCTGAAAGACAGCAAGGTTTGGTGATTCGTGAGATTGGGCTTGAAGCCCATTCTCTATCTATTAGTCACTGCGTTTTATCGTTTTATTAAAGCAGTTTTTTACTCAGGCCCGTTTCAGTTATCGGCCCACTTCCTCAGAGAACAAAATCGAGAATCATTCTCTCTTCCTTTGATTCTCGACAGTGCTCTGAGATTGGGTGTTCATCCTGAACCCTAATTCCCAAATCGATCTAGTCCCTTCCTTGCTCCTCAGCAGCTTCACCACGCCGTGCAGGGCGACGTCGACATTCTTGCTCTTCAGCAGCTCCCCTGCAACCTCAGCCGGAGTAGCCTCCACCTTCCTCAACAGCTCCTTGATCTCGCCGAACAGCTCGTGCTCCGTCTCCTTGAGGTAATTGTACGCCAGTGTCTTGAACGCAGTGAACGTGCAGTACGACATGTTCACCTGAACGTCGACCCTCCCCGGCAGGAGCAACGCCGGATCCAGCTCCTCCTTGTGGTTCGTCGTGAACACCAGGATCTTCTCTTCAACGCACGACGACCATAGCCCGTCCAGAAAGTTCAGCAGCCCCGCCATCGAAATCTGCGAAGCCACCAGCGCAACAGCAATGTCGCTTACAGAATTGAAGGCGGAAATTGAAATTAGGTTTTTGAAAATCTCTGTTTGGTTAATTTACCTCATCTTCGTTCTTCTTTGACGCCAAGGCGCGATCGAAGTCTTCCATTACGAGAATAGATCTGTTGCCGGCGCCGATGAGGAGCTTGTGGAGGTGGGAATCGCCGTAGACTTCCTTGAGATTGAGGTCGTAGACGTCGAACTTGAGGTAATTCGCCATGGCGGCGACCAAGCTCGATTTCCCCGTACCGGGAGGTCCGTACAGCAGGTAACCGCGCTTCCACGCTTTTCCTACCTTCCTGTAGAAATCCTTCCGCTCGATGAACGCATCAAGATCGGCGATCAGCGCCTTCTTGAGCTCGGGATCCATGGCGACCGTCTCGAACGTGGCCGGATGGTGGAAGTTGACGGCGCCCCAGTGCTCGTGATCCCCTCTGTAGTCGATGGCGTAGAGCTTCACCGTCTTCTTCACCTCCCTGATCGATTTCGCCGCCGCGAGAATGTGGGGGAGGTAGGAGCCAAGAACCAGCTCCCGGTGCTTCTTGTGGAAGGTGAGCTCGAAGAAGCGAATCTCCGACGGCTGAAGCCCGACGGTGAATCCGCTGGTGCTGTAGGCCGGGGTGAAGTTAGGGTTGGAAGAGAGGTTCCACTTCATCGTGGCTCCGCCGAAGGAATCGACGAGCTCCTGGTGCTGGTCGACGGTGACGTCGAGGTCCTCCTCCTTCTCCGGCTTCAGGACTTTCACCCTGGCGGTGGACTGCGAGAGCTTGTGGGCGAGGTAGATGTTGGCGGCGTGGAACATCTGGTTGGCGGTGAGGCCGTCGGACTCGTCGATGACGACGGTGAGGTTGTTGGAGATGCCGGTGGTGAGGCGGCGGATGCGGGAGGAGAGTTAGCCGGAGACGGGGGAGGGGACGAGGTCGCGGAGGAGGGAGCGGAGGAGCAGGGCGGCGGCGGCGAAGGACATTGCCGTGGAGAGGAGGAGATGTTTCTCCGGCAGCGGAGGGAGGTGGAGGGACGGCAGAGGGTCAGGTAGGGACCACATTTTCCTTCGTGTGAGAGAGAGAACGGTTACTGGGATTTCATCAGAGACTTTTTTTGGACTCTTCTGGAGAGACAGAGGACGGATGAAGGTACATTTTCTTCCTTCAGCTCTACAATTTCCCGCTTCAGGATTACAAGGAAACGTATTTTTTTTTTATTTTTTGCACAATTTTTTTTTCGAAATTAACCTGCGGGCTGGGCCTGTCTAAAAATATATTGGGCTTCAACCTCGCGAGCTGCCTAGAGTCCGTGGACGGAATGGACGCAGAAACAGTTACGGCCGTAATCTTAATTCTGTTGTTAAGAAAACTAACATAATAAATCTTAACCGTTATCTAATAATGTCAAGTATCGAGTGCAGTTATGAGTTATCTAGGGAGACATCAACAACCAAAATGTCTTTCCTTTTATCTAAAAAATCTTGCAACTAACTGTAGCTTAATCACCGTTCGTATGTTGGACTTAACCCATAGAAATTTAGTGCTACAGACGAGCCCAGCTGAGTCAAAGCTTTTGCTCGGCTCAAACTTGATAGAGAATTCCTCCCTTTAAGTTCGATCCGAGTTGCACAAATCAAACTCGAGCTCGACTCGACAAGAAGAATATGAGCTTGACTTGACAATAGCAGGTGAGGTGAGCGAGCTCAACGACCGCAAGTCATCAAGCCTACCTCATTTGAAGCTTGTGATCAGAGTTCTGCTCGGGCTCGGCTGAACATAACCGATAACTTTCTCCATCTTTGACAGAAATTGGACCATATATCCGATTACAAACATGACTGATTACTTAGTAGTTCTTCAAAATAAGAACTTTGCCGCTCATGTCAACTTACAATCATGGAAATCAACTGACAGCGGAACCCAAAAAATCATATATGCAAAGGTGTTTTTGGAGACCACTGAAAATACAAGATAAGCAAAAAAATATCTTCAAGGCAACGACCCATATGCCACAAATATGCTGATTCCATAACAAAACAACTACTTAATATACTGATTCATTAAGTGGCAAACTGCAGAGAGCCTCAGCCCCACCATTAATAGGCTGACGCTGGCCACAAATCAATTGTACAGCCCACTAATATGTAAAAAGATGGAGGAATACAGTTACTGGGAGAACAGAGGTAAGACAGGGATTTGCTACTACACTCTTCTTACTACTACAACCCCCAAACAATTCACACTCGAGAAAAGAGGCAAAAGAGAAAGAAAGAAGGACTCAAGAATTCGATCCAAGGTAAAAAAAGGAACAGCAAGAGAAACTAACCAAAACATCACTAGGACAAGTCAACTTCAATAACATCCTCTTTCTTGATCAGAGCCTACAAAGAGAAGAAGTAAAGTTAAACCAAATAAACTATAGGAATAAAGTGGAAATGGAAAACACAGTAACAAGTTACCTTAACATTCTTTTTCAAAACATAATAGTATCTTAACCACTCTTGAGAACAAAGTAATGCTTGAACAGTTTTTTCCCCCCAATGATGCACGGTTTGGATCAATCACTCTTCCCCCGGCACTTAAAGTCACTTCCAGCGCAACTGAGGTTAGAGGAATTACCAAAACATCACAAGTCATCGTTGATAAGACCTTATACCTCATACGTTGCTCCTTCCACCACACAATAACATTAAGGCCACAATACTCGGATCAATATAAAGACAATCCTCAAGATATACACCATGGTTGTAACACAATCGACATTTCGAATAAGTGAGTCAAACCTTGCCCTTCACATTCTCTTCCTCCCAGCCCCAAGAAGAAGAGGAAGAGGAGGAAGAGGGAATTGTGTCACTTTCATATTCAAATGAGTTCACCATGTTCTTCCCTTTGTAGTCTTCAACATACTCATGAAAGAGTTGGTAAAGCTTGTCACAAACTAGTGCAATCAGCTCCTTCACAGCTTCAGCTCCATTGTGAAGGTCAGGAAAATACACCTCAAGCATCTTAAACTTGTTTCTTGAGTCCATTATAGCAGCAATCAAAATTAGCACCCAACACTGCTCATATTTGACCCACAAGCCATAGATTGCATATCTTCATTCTCCGACATTAAAGTCTTATCCAGCAACTTCTTAATGTACCAAAATTCAGGAAGAAACAATTTAGCAGTTGGATACTCACTTCCAGAAATATATGCAGTGACAAACCTGCAAAACCATATTCCACTGTTCCTCTTAAGGCAACCAACTATATGATGCATCTCTTGTAGCATACCAAGAAAACACAACTTTCAAACCACAGACAGTAGAAATTATGTGATGTGTAGAGTTCCCTCCAGCAGTACAGTCTAAAATAAGCTTCTTTGCAGACAACTTCAATTGTTTTACAATGTCCAGAAACAAAGTTGATTCGACTCTCTGATGCAGCAATATACTTAACACTTCGTCTACCATTCTCAATTTTTTGAGCAATCTTCTCAAGTCCACATTGTACCAAAATGTTAATTATATGAGCACATCAAACGGCCACATCGTTGTACAACACATTATCAACTGTGATTGTCCATACTTTTTCCTCAACATCCCAATCAGCCAAACACTTACGCAATATATCAGCTGTAGCAACTCCACTACGAGGTGACGGAACATCAAAAAAATTTAGGTTGCGCTTCTGAAGCGTGAAATCCTTATTAATGAAGTGGCATGTAACAACCATATATCCCACCTTTTGAACAAATAGCCACAAATCAGTAGTCAAACTCATCTTACTCACACCTTGAAAAAGTGTTTTTAATTTCGCTTTACGGATGTCAAATGTTTAGAAAATATCCATCTGAACAGTTGCCCTACAAATTTTTAGATAGTGTGGACTGATGGTATTCAACAACAACTCATACTTGAATTGCTTTTAATTTTCATGCACTATGAAGCAATGTGACATTATCTCACGCACCTTTGATTGCTCATGTTTGAAATTCTGGACAGAGGCTTAGTTGTTGTTTCCCTTGACCAAGGAGGATATTGGGATTCTTTGGACATGATGATAACATATGTCTTCTTAGTGTTGATGTAACCCTTGATGGATCTGCTTTGTATGTCTTCTTGCAATTTATGAATTCGCGCTGCTCGAGGCCTGCCGTATGCATAATCTTGAGGCCATTCCGAAGTGTAGAAGTTCTCTTTCTCATAAGTTTCTTTCTGATCAGATGCTAGATTTTGGGTTGCATTCATGGGATTTCCTACATCCACTCTTGCTCTTGTGGTAGAATCATTTGTAGGAGTAGAAGCAGAGTTGTCCATTGAAGGAGTTGGATTTGAGGACATTGCTTCAGACATTCTGTGACAAAACACCAACAATTGTTCAGATAGTACATAGAACAGTCCAAAGCTGTTTCACATCACACACCATGTCACAGATTTTCGTGTTAACTGCATGGTTGTCATGTACAAGAGGGAACTTCCATAATCATGAAGTTGTTCCCTCAAACCTCTGAATTGTGAAGTACAAGCATTAGTGCATTACAATAATGGTTAACACAACAGGCTTAGTAGTATATGTTCTGCTTAATATACACATCATTTCTTACAGTTCCATTGATGCTCAATTTGCAGCTCTACGTACCTTTGTGCTAGCAGGATTGCATTTCCTATGATCTCCTCCTGCCACCTGACTATAGCACTTCACTATCTTCTGGTCTAATTCATAGTAGTCTTCTATCGTCTTCAAACGTTTCAAATCCAAATCAATGATATTCACCTACACAGGAGTCATCAGAAAAGAAAATTACAAAGCATGCAACACTTAAAACATATGTCAAACAAAAATAATCCAACAACGTACTTTGTAGGTAAATTTCTGATTAGTTGAAGGCATATGAACAGAACTATACTGAGATCCACCATCTACATCATCTGTTGGTACAAAACTAATCATCATACTGCAGTCTTTAGCAGTGGCAGCTATCAAATAATTCTTCACAATCTTCAAGCTCTCATCCATGGGAATCGAGTGCAAGGATTTACAAGCATGTAGAGCTTTTGCTTCATTCAAATTCATGCATACTGTACAAGGTCTGGATAGAAAATTGTAATAAGCATGAATTGCTCCTTCAATATCTAAATGGTCGAGTTTTTGAACGTCGAGAAGTTGATCAAGAACTCGAGAGTGATGGACTGTCTCAGCAATAAGCTGCATAAAGCTTGCAGTTCTTGATCCTTTGGTTGGCTGTATGACACCCTTCAGGTCATCTTCAAAGGATTGTTTGGTAATGGTGTTAGTTTTGCTTGTGCCACCACCCAAGCCACCGAGTATAAGAGAACCGTTCAAGAATACACGAAAATTGTTCTGAGGAGTGGCAAATAGATCCTCAATGGCTTTTTGTATTCTTTCCTTGGAACCCGAAAATAGATCCAGCGGATTGTACTTGCTAATCTCTGATATCTGTGATATGCAGCATTGTAGTCAACAAAACAGTATTTGCACTAGAACAGTCATCAAGTAAGATGCTGATATCGTCAATCAATTGTCACACTTTTCCACTGCCGTAAGCTTGAAAGTGATTAGTGCTTACATCTTTGTTGTTTAGCTTCAGGGCTTGATGCATTCTAAACCGTGTGGTGTACTTCTTAACAGCGTTCTCTTCAGCAATAAAGCTTGACAATGGCAGGAACCCACATTTTGGCTACTTGATTCAACGGGGAAAACAAACTCGTAAAGCCCAGAGAGAATCAGTAACCTCATACATTTAAAAGCAAACAGAAATAGAGGCGATGGAAGATAAAAATAGATCATAACCAAGATTGAAAATACCTTTATCTCAACTGATATACACGGTCTCCTCTTAGAACTACCTGCATTAGACCTAGTGTAATTAATTTCCAAAGTGAGTAACATTAACCAACTTGATTCAATTGTTGTCTAATCTCATCGATTATCTGCTGGTAGAAATTGTAACCTTATATAGATTTAAGAAGTTATAGTCAATAAACCCATTTTTCTGCTAAGATCATATGCAACATGAACCTGGGATTGTTTGGAAGACTCAGTACACACATATCAATGAATAAGAAAACGGCAATTACCATGAGGAAACACGGTGTGATCGGACATAATCACCACATAATCACGTTCTACATCCACCTTGGCAGCATCAACTCGCAAAGATGGTCGGTGACGGGTCACTTTCTCTTCGATGCACTTGAGAAATTCTCCAGACACTCTAACAAGCACCTACCATTGACACAAATGGAGTCCATTTCAATGATCTTTGGCTAACCAAATCACAATCCAAAAGGCTAAAAAAAGATACCCCTGAAATCCAAATATTGAGCATTGATTCACAGAAAGCAGACATTAGAGAATTGAAAGTAGTAGTACCCCAGCATCAACATACTTGGGACCCAAGAGAGGACCCATAACTAGCTCAGTAAAAAACCGCTCAACAGCATCTTTGTTCTGAGATGCAACCATCTCCTTCGCTTCTTTCCACAACAGACGTTCTTGCTCCGTCAACACCGGCTGATTTTGGACGACCGCCGACGGCGCATTTCTTCCTACTTTAGGTATCCTCATCACTTTTCCGATCTACCAAAACAGGAAAGAAAAATCAAACCACAGAGAGTAGGAATGGGAGGTTAAGACACAGTCTAAAAGGGTACTGAACAGTGAAAGCTTCATCATACGAAAGCAGGGGAAGATCCGGAGTAAGCGAGGACGAGATTAGCAGCGCCTTCGCCTCTGTAAACCCAATCATCTGCGTCTTTCTTCTCCAGCTTCACCTCCATATCCAGTCAAATGCCAGCTCCTGCGAATTCATACCCACCGCCGAGTTCAGAAACTCAAAATTCCGATGAGGAACGAGAAGCGATCGGAATGAAGAAAAATGGAGGGAGGAGGCAAAGAATTAATCGCATTACTTGATCGGAGAAATGAGTATTCCGGTAAACTAGCAAGCAGCTGCGATGGAATCAACTGCGGCGGCACTCTCTCCGGCTGGGAGAAATCCGACGTGGTTTACCTATCGAGCCTTCAGAGAGCGTTTTTTTCATCGAGCTTTGAGATTCAGAGAGCTGAGAAATTACAGAGAGAAACCTGAACAATATTATTTCTCGGCCCAAGACACTAGACTGGGCCTGGGTCGCCGTTACATCGCTTCTCGTAATATTATTTGACATGTAGGCCCGCAATATGAGTTCTTTTCAACATCATAATTCTCGGGCTTACAATACAGACTGGGCCCACAAACTCACCGCGTCTCAAAGTGTAATTACATGCAGGCCACGTCGCCACGATGTGAGTTATGATAAATTACATGTTTGGTCACTCAAATTATATTAGTCTTTCACGTTTGCCATCCAAATTACTTTTTTTTTTATTCGCCACTAACTTTACAAATCGTTTCACCGTAGTCACCGACAATTAGTCTCCGTTAACTCCAATAGTTTTTTGATGGCGTGGCAAATAGACCGCTGACTTGATATGTTAATTTTAAAAAATTAAAAAAGGCAACGAATTGGGCCCACCTTCCCCTTCCATCTTCTACCTTTATATTTCTCTTCCCCGGCGTCAACCTTCCGCCGCTGCACTAGCATTGGTTTGTTTAGTTCCTTTCTTTCTTCCCTTCCCTTCCCTTCCCATCCCATCCCATCCCATCCCCCTTCATTTTCATTTGATGCCTGCCAACCCAAGAACACCCACCCCAGAGACTTACTCTCCTCCCACCGCAATTCTGTCCTTGTAAGTTCTCTCTCATCAATCTTTGTTTATCCTTTCCCTGTGAAAATGAAGGCGGTCTCCGTTGATCAATTCTCTAGTCGCAGCGGCTGCTTCCACTATAAGATTGATTATTGTGGGGTGAATTGGAGGGGAGAAGACATTGTTTGAAGGGACGACTTAGGAAGGAGCAAAGGGGTTTGAATGGGGCTAGCGATGGGAGAGGGCGAAAGGAGGAGAATCGAGAGATAGGTTTGGATGATCTGCGGAACAAGGATTTGCGAAAAGGCGGGAAAGACTGAAGTGGTGCTGGGGAGAATATTTAAGAGCCGCAAGGCACTCCATTTCTGCGACGGAACGAGAGAGAGAGAGAGAGAGAGAGAGAGAGAGAGAGAGAGAGAGATGGGAAGCATGAGTTAATTGATTTGTGAGAACGTCAAGATTGTGGTTTTTGACGGAGACAGAATTATGAAGGATTGTTGCCTCTGTGTGTGGATGCATGTCTAGATCGACAATCTCCGTTGATCCTATCCCTTTTGAATAGGAAGGCAGTCTCCGTCGATCCTTTCCCTAGTTGCAGCAGCAGCGGCGGCGTTGAGAGAGAGAACTTAGAAGGACAAAATTGCGGTGGAAGGAAGAGGAGTTGAGTTATCTGGGGTGGTAGCACTAATTGCAGCGGCGGCGGGGTCAACGCCGGGGAAGAGGAAGATAAAGGACGAAGATGGGGAAGGGGGCCCCACTCCTCTACCATTTTTTCTTAAATTAACGTGTCATTTACTTAATGGTCTAGTCAGCAGTTCCGTTTGCCACGTCATCAATAAACTGACGGAGTTAACGGAGTCTGACGGAGATTGACGGTCGGTGACTACGGTGAAACGATTCGTAAAGTTAGTGGCGAATAAAAAAGAAAAGTAATTTGGGTGGCAAATGTGAAAGATTAATGTAATTTGAGCGACCAAACGTGTAATTTAGCCCAAAAAAATCACAAGCCACTTGTAGCTTGAAGTTTGTGAAATGTGGTTAGTATAGTTTTATATATATTATTATATTTATATCATTATGATACACTTTTATACCATCATGATTAGATGTGATAATTTAGAAATTTTATAGTAAAAAATCTTACCAATTTTAGGGTCGGTTAAGAGGGTGTGTCGAGAGGTCGTTCGTCACAGGTCTCCAAATATTAGGAGGTTTCCACCTGAATCTGTTAATTAGTTCGATCGTATATTGTAGGTAGTAATCTTATGTACTACGAAACTTTACTGTCTTGCATAGACTTGTAATACATATCTACAGCTTTTCCCACAAAATATAATAAAAGTAGATGTCATTTTGAAAAATATGATTAATCTGAAACATTTTTTGCACAAAATTGGAATTTAAACCAAAAAAGATACGGCCAGTTAAATTTAGTTGAAGAAAAAATTATGCATCCTAAATAACCTATACGCTAAAAGACACATATTATTGCTCTTCTTTTAAGCTTAGCAATTTTTCTTTGTTTATGTCCATTTCGATGGAGCTTTGTTTCCCTATAGTAGGAGTGCTTGTGAGTTTGTTTTGCAGGGTTCGTTGTTTTCCCTCGACATGTAAGCATACTTTTATTATGCTTCTTGGCACTGAGAGATGCCACGTGCCCACCAATGGTGTTTTAATAGGAAGAGGAACTCTCCTCCCCGTTTTGCTCATTGTTATGAATGTATAGTGGATTCATTTTCTTTTATGGATTTGTTTACTTTAAGGAGTGAGAATTGGTTTTTGACTTATTAAGGTTTTTGTTGTGAATCTTCAAGGGGATGGTCAATTGTTGATCCGACCAGTGATGGAGGTGGTTCATAATCTGGGGGAGTTCTTCTTCAGTTCAGATTTTGTCTGTTTTTTCCCCTGTATTTTTACATTTAATCGATTTCATAGGGCTACCCATTTAATGACAAAAAATCATTCCATTGACAGTTAGGTTACTTGTCGAGTGTTCCGTTTGGTTTTACTGTACTCTTTGTAGTTTGTACTACCTAACGTTAAACACCCTATTTATGTTTTTAAAAAAAAACGAATTAGTACGATAGGCCTGACAGGTGGGCAAAAAGTTTGATTCATTAAGTCGTCATAAGATAAGAGAGTACTTGAAGGAATTTCTTTAGTGGTATAAGAATAAGAGAGAGTAGACTTTAATTTGGTGCCTCTATAATTGGTGTGCGTAGAGGGGACCAGTATTCTTATTGGACACGATAACACAAAATTTAGCCTTAGAGATGCATACATTTTCATGCTAAGAAATTCATAGTCATTTATAGGCCAGTTTTGGATTGACACGACACAACACAAATTTAATGTAAGCACGCACATGTTATTCATTCTGGACATTGACTATACAACTCTGGGTAGAATAACCAATCCCCACTCTCTTTTTGTAATCCTTTTTTTCCTGTTAGGTTACGATGTGAATAGTTTTAATGAAGAGTAAATGACAAAAACAAGTAAAACAAATTGCTTATGAAATTACCTAGTTCACTAGCATAAGATATGCTAGTTAAGTCCAAGGCAGAGTATAAAGTACATATTACAAAGGAGAATATATGAGTTATGATCCATTCATGACATTTCGATACTAACATTCGATATATTAAATTTTCTCATTTGATATATTAAATTTTCTCAATAGAGTATGTGATTTAGACTGAGAAATAGTTATATATCAATTTAAGCGAATCGTATATAGAGAGAATATGTGCAACTTCAGATTTCAAAAAAATTCATTTAAAATTAGCATATGTGTGCATACATATATATTATTGGACAAACATTAAAAATTAATTAAGCCATTAGTTATCTCTCTTGGGCATCTAGATAGATGGAAAAATGCTATGTATTTTAAATTATGGCTTTCCTCATTCAAAGACATCATTTAATTTTGCCACTGAAAAAAACAACAAAAACAATTATTAAATTTTACCTTAACAACAACCGCGTACCAAGTCGATCTCTCCATCTAATCTAGCTTTCCTCATTCAAACTCATCTTTTAATTTTGCCATTGAAAACAACAACAAAATAAAAACAATTATTAAGTTCTAACTTAACAACCGCGTACCAAATCTCTCCATGAATAAATCATATAAATCAATATGATTATTGTTCTACATCATGATTTTAATTTTGCCACTAAAAAAAGATTCGAATATATAATATTTGTACTCGGCTTTCATACAAAAAAGTGTGAATCCCATGACTAAGGGGTGCTTATCACTTGGCTAAGCCCCTCCCAGCTCTTAGATCTGGATACATCAATCTGACGGTTAAAAAGTGGGAAGGGATATTTAATTAATGACAAGGGTAGTTTGGGTATTATAAAAAATTACGAAGTATATAAACCGGACTTACAATCAATACAAACCATACAAACAGTACAAATTACAACGACAAAACATACAAACAGATTTACTAACATTACAGACGTATGAACTGTACAAACAATACAAACTAGATCGACAAACAATACAAACCATACAAAAAAGAAAAAACAACTAGGTTGACTTTGGAGGCTTCATCCCTATATAGAGGGCTCCGTCTCAAAGTCAACCCGGTTGATTTTTAGACATACAAACATTGCGAACATGGTGGACGAAAATGACAAACTATACCGACAATCCATACAAACTGGAAAAAATACTCGAGTTGACTTTGGAGGCTTTATCCCTATATAGAGGAGTTACATCCAAAAGTCAACTAGGTTGTTTTTTAGACATAAAAAACATGGTTGACAAAAATGATAAACATGGTGCACAAAAATAACAAAGTTTACAAACATTACAAAATAACAAACCGTACAAACATTACAAAATAAACCGACAAACAGTACAAAGCATACTAACCGTACAAAATGTCACTAAAAATGACAAACAAGAATGATAAACAATACAAACCGAATCTATACAAACATTACAAAATAGGTCAACAAACATCACAAATCCAACACTGTCACCGGAAAGTCTCCTTCGGTCGCCGGAAAAATCTCCTACGGTCAATAGAAAAACTCTCTCTCTCTCTCAATGCCCAGAAGGTCGCTAGTAGTTGCTGGGGAAAATCCCTAGGAAAAGAAAGAATGGCCAGAAGGCCATGGCAATAATCCGGGCGAGGGGATCCGGCAAAAAATATCCCGGCGAGGGGCCGCCGGAAGATCACCGGCAAAAATAATACATACGAGGGCACGGGAGATACCCACGCTGGCTTCGATTTTTTATTTATTTTAATTATTAAATAAATTAAATGTGTAATTATCATCTTATCCTTCATAAACTGGATAAATTAGGACCATTAGATTTTAATGAGGTTGAATGATTGAAATTGGCTTAGCCATGTGACTAAGAAACCCGATAATCACCTCATCTTAGCCACATACAAACACACATACATGCATTCCTAAAAAAAAAACCATGTCCTCAACAAATTTCCTCTTTTTGCTTTGTTTGTTTCCAAAATTTTCTCTATCCAGGAGGGAACTCAATTCGTATAGTTTTGAGCCCGACATTTCGCTACCTAGCTAGCCATGCCACTAAAAATCATACATGCATGTGGACCAAAAACACTACAATGATAACTACGTACGCGTCCATTGGCGTACTTACAGACGCGTAGCAGCTAAGCTTCATGGTCCCCAAGCTAGCAATTCCATCGATTGTTGTTTCTTCGACTTACGGTAGGTTTGCTTCTATATATCTATATACACCACACCCGCAAACCCATTTGCTCTCAAAATATCGGCTACAGATAACAATCACCATAAGCAACACTCATACCAAAACAACAACAAAATCTAAGCCATAGATATATAGCTTTGTAGCCATAACAATGGAGGTGGTGAAAGTGCTTCACATGAACCAAGGGAATGGCGAAACCAGTTACGCCAACAACTCTACTGTCCAGGTAATTTCAAAGTGTTTTTTATGTCACGTGTTATAGGGTTATATACCAGGCCATTAATTTCTGAAATTGTTAAAGATCGATCTTTGATTGATTTAATTTGCATAATTAAACGTAGAGCAAGATAATCTCTTTAGCCAAGCCAGCAACGGAGGAAGCCATCGGAGCTCTGCTCCGAGGCTGCCTGCAGGTTCGTGGAACCGTACCGGAGACGCTTGGGATTGCGGACTTGGGCTGCTCGTCGGGACCAAACGCTTTTCGCGTTGTTTCGGAGATAATCGATGTCGTATTCGAGGAATGTCTGAGAATGGATCGACCTGTCCCGGAGCTCGGTATTTATCTCAACGATCTCCCTTCCAACGACTTCAACAACGTTTTCGGATCGTTGCCCGATTTTTACAAGAGGTTGAAGGAAGAGAAAGGTGACGATCGAATCGGTTGCTTTGTGTCCGCTACTGCCGGTTCTTTCTACGGGAGGTTGTTTTCCAAAAATAGCCTCCATTTCGTTCACTCCTCCTCCAGTCTCCACTGGCTCTCACAGGTTAATTACGCAATTGATTTCCCCTTTCATGACTTCATTAGATGTTAGTGTACTCCATACATAGTGTGGACGAAATATAAAACGTTACACTTGTGTGACGAAAGGCTAGCTAGGTACAAAAAATGTCACTAAAGTAGTACTATATGTGACAGGTTCCGGCAGGGCTAGCCAATTGTGGCACGATGAACAGAGGAAAACTCTACATATCCAAGACCAGCCCAAAGGCGGTGGTTGAAGCGTACACGCGACAGTTTCAGGACGACTTTTCGATGTTCTTGAGTTCACGTGCTCACGAACTGGTTCCCGGAGGACGCATGGTTCTTTCATTCATGGGTCGAACATCCAACAGTGATCCGACCGATGAAGTGGGTTGCTATCAGTGGGAGCTGCTGGCGCGTGCGCTGATGAGCATGGTCGACGATGGACTCGTTGAGGAAGAAAAAGTCGACTTGTTCAACGCTCCTTACTACGCGCCCTCTCGATATGAGGTGAGGACGGAGGTGGAGAGAGAAGGATCGTTCGAGATCGATCGGGTTGAGGCGTTTGAGATCGAATGGGACGGAGGGAGAAGGGACAAGGGAGGCGGTGGTGCGACGGAGACGACGAGAGGGGAGACGGTGGCGATGACGGTTAGGGCAGTGGTGGAGTCGATGGTGGAGGCCCATTTTGGGGGAGGGATTGGGGATGAGTTGTTTAGGAGGTATGCCGTGGTGGTGGATGATTACTTGTGTTTGAAGAAAGCTGTGTACGTTAATCTTGTGGTTACTTTGGTTAGGAGGGACTGATTTGTGGATTTTTATCTTGTTAAGGGGGTAAAAATGATTCGGTTAATAATTAAATTAAGCTTGTAACTGATATACCATTGAGTAAAGATGCCCAATAATGTCACACAGAAATGTTTGGAACTTATAGTCTGATATTAACCTTTTGCTTGATTCATGGATTAATGAAATGCAAGGAAATTTGGACATGACAAGATATAACCCACTAAAGATAACATCATTGATTCTTGTACGATCGATTGCGGAGCTTGTCGGGGAAAAGAGCCTCCTGCTGCCGGCTCATGGGTTTGGTATGGCCGACTTCAGTGGGGACTTTCATCGAACAGTTTGACGAACTGATCGTCCTAATAGACAACGAGAAACGGGTATTTGGATATACCCGTATCCGTCCCGTTTTTTTAGGGTTACGGAAATCCAAATACCCATTTTTTTTTTACGGGATGAGATTTGGGATCAAGAATTGCTTCTTTGGGTACTGCGGGTTACCCGTATAATACCCGTTTGGGTATTATGGGTACCTGTTATACCCATTAGTTCAAAGTTGAGATGGTGGTGAAGCGCTTTGAGGAAACAGGGGATTGTCTTTCAAGTTACTTTGGTCATTTACACTAGCAGAGGTGATGGAAATGAAAATGAAAATGTTTTTTCCCCCGGTTTTTTAGGGGAAGAATGTGAAGGGTTTCCTTCTACCAAGGCCAGTCATAGCCAAAGCCGTTTGTGTATATAACTATTCAATTCTACCTTTTTGGTTGTTTATATATCAGTTATTGTTGTTATTATTATGAGCTTCTATACTGTTGGTTCTATTTCTCATTGCTGGGACTAGGCAGACACAGTTGCAGTATTTCTAGGTAAAAGATCCCTTGCAAAATGCAATCAGACATCGCCGCCGGCCAGTAATTGGCAGTAAGAAAAGAACTAGCAAGAAAGAACACTTGCTTCATTTTTCATTTGCAGCTTCTTCTTTTATCCGGAGCAAGTTCCCTTGATAGCATTTCGTATGTAAGAATTGAACTGGTATTTACGGGTAGTATGGGTACCCGTTATCCATTCCGTACGAATAATGGGTACCCGTTAACCCGTACGGGTTTGGGACATGAGAAGGAGATTGCTTTTCAAATAAGATTGGGTACCCGTTTGAAACAGGGCGGGTATCCCGTCATGTCCCGTTGCCCACCCCTAATCGTCTGAAGGATTGGCAGATGGGAGAATGGTATAACCACCGTTGTTGTACTCGACCAGGCCCTCCAGGTTAGGCCCACTCATGAAACCTTTAGCTTCGGGGCCATATAGGTCTGAACCCGAAGCCCGATTTAGGAGTGGAGGGTCGGTCGGTTCGGTTATAACCGAAAACCGTAACCACCTCCCAACCCTACCGACCACCGATTGAAAGAGGGTTTAAGGCTTTGGTTATCTCGGTTTTCGATTAACCAAGCCGCCTCCCAAGACCAAAATCATCTCGCACAGCCTCCGAACACCGACCGACTTTCGGTTATCTCAGTTTTCGCTTAGTGAATAACCGTCCTGTTTCGGCTGTAACCGATCAGTTAACCACTAACCGATCGTGATTGTCCAGCCATAGCCTGATTTTCAGTGGCTCTGCTATTCATAAAAGGGATAAATTGCAAGTTTGGTCACTGAGATAGTGAGATTGTTAAAAATTTCACATTTGTCACTAAAATGATTTTATTCTATTCATGGTCACTTAAATTAGTTTCGTAGTCTAAGTTTGGTCACTTCCGTTAGTCTCCATTAACACTGTTAGTTAATTGCTAATGTAGCTAACCAAAATGTCTAATCACCCATTTTTCACCCCAAAATATTGAAACCCGACCCGCCAGCATAAAATCCAACTCAACCCACACTCCTCCCAACCCATGTTCTCGGCTCCCCGCCCCAAACCCTCCTCGCCACCGACATTGGCAGCCATGTCGAATGTACCACCTCCACCACCTGCCTGAACAGCTCCAACCAGGCTCTGGGAAATATGAAATCGGTGAAGACGCGAGGTACGTACGTGAGGCTCTAGGAAATCTAGACTGATTTGATGACGGCGTTGAATCATTAGAAATCTGGGTTCGTCGATTTGCCCCTTTGCCTTCTGAAATCCTCATCTTCCTGATTTGGCTCCACCGATCTTTCACCACCACCACGGTGCCTCAACCTGGATCGCTTTCAGAAGCGAACAAGAGGAAGAAGCAGCTCCGGAGCTCTTCTCTTCCCCTGCTGCTTCCACCAAGCTCGCCAAGTCCACTTCCTCCCCTGGGTCGAGGGACGCGCGGCGAGAAGATGCAGGAAGAGACGATGCCGGTGAGTTCGGATTTGGGGGCGGCGGATGCTTGAGAAACCACCATTTTTTCGGATGCTTGATGAACAGACGGCGGCCTGTGGAGAGGAAGATGAACCAGAGCCTTTTTTTTTTACATTTGATTTTAATTTGAGTGGGTTGAGTCTCGGGTTGGGCGGGTCAAACTGACGTGGCGAGTCGGGTCTTCTATTTTCAGGATTAAATTAGGTTGATTGGACGATTCCGTTTGCCACATCATCACTTAACGAAATCTGTTAACGAAGTCTGACGGATGGTAACAAAGAGTGACAAAACACGGAATGTATAACTAATTTGAGTGACTACGAATGAAATAAAATAATCTTAGTAACAAACGTGAATTTTTTTTAGTAATCCCAGTGACCAAACTTCCAATTTACCCCATAAAAATAATCATAATTTCTGTTTTGCTTGTTAAAAATTCACGATTTTAGAAATCCTACCGTAATAATAGATTCGATCGAAAAATATCGGATACCAGACTTCAAATTATAAATTAGATATAAAACGATTGAACTATAGTAAAAAATACTCTTCCATTAACTTTCCCGATTTAGCTTTCTTTTACAATTTCACAATCATTTAGATTCATAGATCGGGTTGCTCGTAACGATTTACTTGTAAATAGGCAACATTCGAGGCAATGTGCAAAATTTTGATGGGCTCTGAAGGGCGAGGAACAGAAATGAAGAACCTCTACGACGACGTGTCGAGCATTTACCAAGCAATGTTGGCTTTCCCTCTGAGGCTTCCCTGGACTCGATTTTATAAAGGGCTTGAGGTGATCTCTCCCAAAGCCCAGCCCAACTTAGGAATCCATTTGGGCTATATATCCAATATAATCAGGCTGATCATTCAATTGCAGGCCAGGAAGAGAGTGATGAAGAGGCTGGACTCTGGAGCGAATGATTTCTGAAAGAAGGCAGAGCCCACAAAATTCATCAAGAAGACTTCCTGCAGCAGCTCTTGGCAGGGGGAGGTTCCAGCATGTTAACAGATGAAGAGGTTAAGGACAACATACTGATCATGATCATTGCAGGGCAGGATACCACGGCTAGTGCCATTACTTGGATGGCGAAATACCTCGGGGAAAATCCAGATGTCGCGGATACGTTAAGGATACGTAAGATGTTACGTCAATGTTGTCCTTGACATATACTTAGGTGTCTAATAAACGTCGAAATATACATACTTGGATGCAGCTTTGAATATAAACCGTTAGTAATCTCTTCTAACTTTCTTGATGTGATGTACACTAACCAATTCTTTTGTTGACGAAATATAATACAATAGTTGCATTAATGTGTGTTTGCCATGCATGTTAATGTGTTGGAGTTCAGGGTACAAGATAATGAAGGGATGGAACGTTAACGTTGACGCAAAGATCAATTCACTTCGACTCCAGCCTATACAACCAAACAACCCACCAGATTCAACCCTTCCATATTCGACGTAAAATGAAATCCATCCCTCTCTCTCATCTTCTATATTAATTAGTGCAAGATTATGAGGTGCAGTTTCTTGGCATTTGGGATGGGAATGAACTTGGCTCGAGCAATGATGATCGTATTCCTCCATCGCCTCGTCACGTCTTACAAGTATGACGGCACTTTATCCACACTTCTAAATTGTGCATGAATTCTCTATCATTTGTTTCGATTCGATTTTATCATGATTTCATTAAATTCTCGAAGCTACTTCAACAGCCTAGCTTCTATAAATACCCATGAAAATAGGTGAGTACTCGGGCGTACAATATTAACCGTATTCACCATAAATTTTCTCTCGGAATGATATATAAGTCACTCATCATAAGTTTCCGTAAAACCCTAATACAAACTATAGTTTAATTTTATCGTACTTTTAACACTTGAGTCACCCTTGATGATAGTTTCTTCTTAAGGCTCGAAAAACGGCTGCCCCCGCATCCATTTGACACCTATTACAACAATGAGAGCTCCTTCTGCCTGCTTGACTTGGTTGGATTCTGGTAAAATATCCATAGTTATGATGTGAAACATCACACATACACATTGTCGTTTCGTTTCATGGTGAAGTTGCTAGCTAGCTAGTGTTGGCGAGATTAGACAGTAGGGGTTTTGCCTAATCACAATAAAACAGAATCCTTTCTAGCTAGTCTGTTCGTCAAAAGATAAACTGGGGTAAGTGAAGGCGAGTGTTGTTAGAAATATATAGTTTTCCAATTTACGTACGTAGATGTGTGGTTGTGTTCTTTGTTTGTTCCTGCCTTGCAATATGTCGGACATGGACGGGACCTGGGATGATGTTAGAGGTGGCAATTAGGATCCAAATCCATGAATCCAATCCAATCCTTCCACCAAATTATCCACTTAATTCAATCCATTTAAATCCAATCCATTTAATCCAAATCCAATTGGATTGGTGGATTCATGGATCAATTCATGGATCCAAATGGCAAATTATGATTTGGTACCTATATTTTTTATATTTTACATTTTGGTACATAAAATTTATATTTTTATACGAAAAATATCATTGGAAAATTACATTTTGGTACCTAAAAATTTTCATTATGACATTTTAGTACCTAAACTTTTCAAATTTTACATTTTGGTCCAAGCTTTGGATGTCATTTGGATTCATGGATCGATCCACCAATCCATTTGATCCAATCCATGAATCCACCAATCCATTGGATCCAATCCATTTGATCCATGGATCCACCAATCCAATCCACGAATCCGATCCAATTGCCACCTCTAGATGATGTCAATAATCCTATGTATAAGCAAATTGAAGTCGTTGTTTTTGGATTCGAGGTGTAGGATCATCAAGAAAGCTATCATTATTGGTATCAATTACTTTCGGAGTTCAATAATTTGGCCAACTTCCTTCCTGTCACTTTTGAGTTATTAGGAGAAACTAGACGTACTTTGCAAAAAAGTTTAATCTATTAGACATGAAGTGTGGATAAATATTTGTAGTGCTTAACTCAAAGACTGCTATACAAAAAATTACTAAAATTCGAAACAATAAATAAAGTTTTCGTTTGTATTAAGGAGTGTTTTACCCGTTTGATTTATTGGAAGAGTTTCAATTTCGTCGACACCGTTCGACCACTTAATTAACTACATTATGGATAATTCATGGCAATACAAACTACAAGACAGAAGCTGGATCTGTTACGTGGAGTAATCAAAGGATTGGCATATGCATGTCTGTTTTGATGGGTTCAGTCCAATCAAAGAGATTATTATATGATCCGTATGGCCAGAGGACTAGCTATCCAAGGAAACCGACCGACCGATCGATCTCTTTCAGTTCGTTTAATTTTTAT